TTCTACTCACTGTCTTTTTTCACCGCCTCCTTTTAATTATTTTCACATTTACTTATTGTATCATTATATATAGATTGTAAATTACACCAATAAACGAAAAAAAAGAAAAAAAAAAGATTCTTGTTTGATTGGTTTGAACGGAATATGTGGTTTGTACCTTGCTTATCTTTGATTAGTATTATTTTTGAATATTTATTATTTGACTTATTATTAATTATTAACTAATTATTAATATACTGAATATTACTTAATATTACCAATCACCATTTTCTCTTAGTATTTACTAATACATAATATTTATACGTATATATATATATTTTTTTTTTATTATTATTTATATTTGTTTTTAAGCTCTTTTGCTTCTTATTGTTTATTATCTTTTGGTATTATCTAATATTTATGTTTGCTTGTTATATTTTCTGTATTTTATATTTACTCGTACCTATTGCGTTTTTTTTTTTTATAATGATATTGTTTTGTTTCCGTTACCTATTTATATGTGAACCTAAATATTTTATTTATTCGAATTATAAGCGATGAGAGAATAAAGTTATATTAATCCATGAATAATCTATATATTGTTAAATATTTTATATATATATATATATATTTTTTTTTTTCTAGTTTTATTAAATGTTTCTATTTTAATACAAATAATTATTAACCTCGTCTCTTTAAGGTTTTATATTTTTTTGTTAAATAAAATAATAAAAACAATAATTTACCTCTTTGGACTTCGGACGTCAAACAGCGAAGTTCCAGATTCTGTTGGGATTGGTGTATATTGCGTTTTATACCTACTTTTGCTTGATTGTTTGTCGGTTGGGTAACATTTCGGCGGCGGTTGCGTGTCGTTGTGTTGTTCCGCCGCCGTTTTCTCTAAAAAATCGTTGAGGGCTTGGGTTGGTCGAAACACCTGACCGCATTGAGATAAATCTAACTCACTACATTCGTTATTAAATAAATTTACTGAATCAAAGACGTTTGACTGCATAATTAGATATTCAAAAATAGAGAAATAATTTTCAAAATATATTGAAATATAAAAATTGTAAAAATTATTATAACTTCGATAGATATGTTTGTTCGGTATAGTCCGTACTTTGTCAATGAAAAATATTCGGTGAAGACGGTTTATATTATGATAAAACAACGGAGGCATTATTGAACGGAAATTATTAAAAAAATAGTACGCAGAGTAAACAAAATACTTAAAATGATATCACTAATGAGGTGATTTACTAGGAATTTATAAAAAATTATAATACTGCATTTTTTTTTATATATATATAGTTGGATATAATCAGACGGCAAATAATATAGGCAATTACGTAACATTGTTACGTCATCCGTCGAAAAAATCGAGCTTGGTGCTTGCCCGAAGTATAATTTCATTATATTTTCGATGACTACGACTACGACAGGCGGGGGACCCACTCACCTACCAACCCGTATCTGTACTTGCCATGGCCACGCTTTCAGCGACCTGGCCGGTACGCCAGCGGCCGGCGTAGTCTCTTTAGGGTTTTATATATAATATTAATATTGTTATTTATTTATCAATGTCTTCTTCATCGGTTTTTTTAAAGACCATTGAGGCCCATTAAATTAAAAAATAATTAAAAAAATTAATTAAAAAAAGTAATTAAAAAAATAATAAAAGAATTATTTTTGTAAATTTCTTGCTTTTCTTATGTTGTATCCTGATTTTTCTTCACATAGAATGAAAATCACTTGGATAATCAAAAAATGACCTACTAAAAGTAACATCTGGATTACATTCTCTTTCAGAAATGATGTGTATATATCATACTCGAGCAAGATTTTCTAAAGAATTTTTGTACAGTATAAAAAAAAAATATAAACATCTAAACCAATATATTCTTTGGTACACTCTATTTAAAACCAATTCAAAATTCAAATTTTACACTAGTTAACAATTAAATATGTTTTTAAATGTAACCAAACCTAAACACTTAATCAGTTTTTGTTTTAGGAGTATGTAGCTGATTTTTACATAATAATGTAATTTTCTTCTTCTTCATCGGTTTTTTAAAGGCCATTGAGGCCCATTACCGCAACACAAACTTGCTCCCATCTGTCTCTGTCCTGTGCTATTGTTTCTCCATCTCATATTCCAATCTCTACTAAATTCTTCTCCGCCTTGTCAATCCACCTTTGTTTCGGCCTGCCAAGTGGTCTTTTTCCCTTGGGTTTCCATTTTAAAACCTCTTTCATAAGACCATTTGACCTCCATACATGACCGGCCCATGCCATTCTCCTATTTTTTAATACTGCTACTATGTCTGGCTCTTTATATAATTGTTGTATTTCTATATTATTTCTTTTCTCATATTGTCGTGTCATGTTATTTATTTTTGGCCCAAATATTCTTCTTAATATTCTTCTTTCGAGTATTGCTAATTTGTCTTCGTCTCCTTTAGTCGTTGGCCATGTTTCACACGCATATAAAAGGACTGGTCTGATAATTAACTTGTATATTATAATTTTTGATTTGAGTGATACACGTGATAGCATTTATTTTCTGCAGTTAGTCTTATTTTAATTTCATCGTGATTATTATTTTTGCTATTTATTGTAACACCCAGGTATTTAAAATTTTGCACTCTTTCAAATTTATAGTTCTCAACTTCTAAATTTTCCTCGTGATTTTCTCGCCTAGATATTACCATATATTTGGTTTTTCCTTCGTTTATTTGTAATCCAATGTCTTTGCTGTTTATTATTAGTTCTTTGGTTCCTGCTTTGACNTTAAAGAGTATTGGGGATAGGGCATCTCCCTGTCGAAGTCCAGTCTTAACTTCAAATTCATCTGATATATGTTGATTGAATCTAACTTTACATCTGGTTTTATTCCTACATAATTTGATCATTTTCACTATCTTATCTGGTATCCCAAAGGTTATAAGTGTGACCCATAGTACTTTTCTATTAATTGAATCATAAGCCTGTTTATAGTCAATAAATAGTAGATGTAGATCATTGTCGAATTCGTAATGTTTCTCAACTAGTTGTTTAACAGTGAAAATGTGATCTATGGTGGATTTACCATTCATAAAACCACATTGGTAGTTTCCAATGATATCTTTTATGTAAGGTTTTATTCTGTTTAGTATGAGACCTGACAATACTGTGTACATTGTATTTAGCAACGATATTCCTCGGTAATTTTGGTAGCTTGACCTGTCTCCCTTTTTAAAAAAATTGGACAGATTATTGCTAGTTGCCATTCTTTTGGTATTTCTTCTTTATGCCATACATCTCTGATTAATTTCCCTACTTCACATATTAATTCTTCACCACCATACTTTAAGAGTTCTGCAGCTAAGCCATCTTCACCTGGCGATTTATTGTTTTTAAGTGTGTTTATGGTTATTCTAACTTCGTCGTCCGTTGGTTCTACGTCTTCAGGTTCTGCTGTATTGTACACAATTTGCGTATGGTCTTAATGCGATTGTGGGTTGAGTAGTTCCTCGAACACTTTCCCAAATTGTTTTGCAATTTCTTCTCCTTCTATTACAAGTTCTCCGTTTTCTTCTTTCATTACCTCTGTTTTGGGGTTATACCCCGTTTTTAATTCTTTTGTTTGTTTGAAGAAGAGTTTCGGGTTCGTCCTGTTGTCTTTAATCTGTTTTATTCTTTCCTTTTCCCATAATCGTTTTTCCCTTCTAATTATACGTTTAGTTTCTCTAAGATTCTGGGTAAAATTTTTATTGTTTTCTGTGTTTGGGTTTAAAAGCATCAAATATTTCGCTTTATCCCTTTCTTCAATTGCACTTTGACATTTATCGTTAAACCATTTATGCTTTTGTACTTTTTTCTTTTTTCCTAGGTGTTCCAAAGCAGTTATTTTTATTATTCCCTCTAATTTTTTCTAACGGGTTTCAATGTTTTCTGCCACTATTGCGTCCTTTAATTTGTTTTTTTAGTTCATTTTTGTATTCTTTTAACATTTCAGAGTTTTTTATGTTATCTTTATCTACATTTTGTGTGGGAAACACGTGATACTTATTCTTAGTCCTTTAGAGATTGGAAAGTTAATTAGTCGGTTTCAATTTTCATTAGAATGAGTATGGAGGCTTTCTTTTCCTATTGTTGGTCATTTCTTCTTTCCCTATTTTAGCGTTGAAATCTCCAAGGATAATCTTCGGTTGGCTTTGGCAATTGATTCGAATAGTGTGTCGAATATTTATCAATATATTTTATTTTTTTTATATTTCCTGCCTCTTTAGTCTAATTATGATTTTATTAATTTAGAACTTAGGATCATATTTAATTAATATTTCTTTATTTTATTTTTTTAAATAGTAATAAATTTTCAATATTCTACAATTATCATCTAAATTAAAAGATAAATAGAAATTTATTTTTCTAAAAATGTATGACGTATACTAATATTCACTCTTTCGATTTTCTACTTAATCTGTGTTCTATTTTTTATTTAATTTATTTTTTTAAATTAATGAGTATGAAAATTTATATAAGAAAAGTTCGATTTATTCAACTAACTGTTTTAATCTGTTTAGTTATTATTATTTATTTATTTTGTTTTTAATTTGTATAATTCTTATTGTATAGGTATTATAATAAATTATAGATGCTTACATAAATAATAAAGTATCTTAATTGTTATATTCAATAATTCGTCACAATTCTCAGCAAGTAAACTGACCTTGAAAGTTGGGCGCCACTTTGTAGTAATAAAAAAAATAGCAAAAATAAAAAGGGAGAAATAAGGGGAGGGAAAGAAGCTTTGGCGGGGGGAAATATAAAAAGAGGAGTATTTAGGGGGATAGTAATAGACTTAGGACACTATGTATAGTAATAGAAGACAAATATATTTGTACCAAGTACTCGGCTATATTTGAAACTTTTAGTTACATTTTTGTAATGATATAAATAAAAAATAATTATACAATTATAATATTATATTATGTGAGCATAAAATTACACTATGAATTAATTTTTTTAATTTTTTTTATGTGAACCCTTTTTTTATCAGAAAGCATATTCCGATTATCAAGTAAAGCACACTTTCTGAAATGAAATGTTCTCTGGGTGGTACTTACGAGAGTATTTTGGAACATTTTTTTAAATTCTCATTAATATTCAATTTAATGATGAAAACCTCGTATTTAAAAAAAGTAAATCTCTTTTGAAGCTTTTCAAGAAATGGGGATTGGTCCAGGTAGCAGTGGTCTTCATTGTTTTCTTTAACCTCTTCATCCCTTGGGTCAATTTAATCATCTAGATAGAAATGTGTAAGCTGATCACTATTTATAATATTTTATATATTCTTTTTTAGCTTCCTCTTTTTCATTTAAACATTGAAATATAATTAGTTTTTCTCTTTGAATTGGACTATCATCAAATTGTTCTTTTTCTGCTGTTATAATTCATGCTCCAATTGTTGATGGAGATTGCTTAGATTTTGATAATCCTCAATGGGGTTTTTAATATTATTTGTGTCATCGGTAGTGGTACCATAATTTTTTTCAATAGTTCTAGAGTATTCTAAACATAAAAATATATTATATTATTATAGTTTAGTATTGTACTTTTTAAAACAGTTAACATTTTCAGTAAAGCATAATAATTTGTTACATTTATTACAAATGGTATATGTTATACCTTTGAAGTTTAAGTATTTACACTTCTGGCTAGTCTCAAAGCAATTAGAAATATGTTGAATACTATCATATCTAACATTTAGAAGTGTCATTTGTGTACACCTCAGCCTTTTTCTGTGAGTTATATTACTTTGTTTATTTTCTTTATTTGGTCTTCCTCTTTTAGTAGATACTAATTTACCTACTTGACATAAGGAAACAGCTAAATCCTTCTGATAGAAGAACCTTCTGATATTTCGAATATTGCATCAATCATTTCTTTTTCAGTTAGTCCTTTAGATTTTGACATTGATCGATATGAAATTAAAACACTTGAAGTGAAAGAATTATACTTTGTTAACGGCAAATTCTACAAATAAAAGTCACAAAACACAAATTTTGTTAAAAACAATACTCAAATTTATATAAATATAGATAACATTGATAGAGGTCTGTGCGCATAAAGTTTCATTCATGCAACCCATAGATAATTATTTTTGTTTAGTTGCACCAAGCATCCAAAACAACTATACGATATTTTTTCACTGTATTTTACATGTATTGCTATCAAAATATTAATTTTCATTTGCGGAAATAATGCAAGGTTTATGGATAATAATATTATATTACTTATAAGCCTTGGAAATAATTTATATTTTCGATATGGTAAACAAACTTAGCTAAACCCTTGTAATTATTGGTCTACCGACTAACATATGTTTTTATGATTTGTTCGAAAATACAGAATACCGAATAATCAAATGTTATATTACTAATATTTATCGATATCAAACAAAACTAATGAAATAGAGATAATGGCATAACAATAATTTAAAACCTTGTAAATTAACAAAGAAAACTAGATAAGCATAGATGCTACTATATGAATTTAAGGATTAATAACAAAAAAACTAAATAAAAACAGTTGCTAATGACAAACTTCTTTTTAATATTTCAATCATTTTTAACATTAAGACCGAGGTTTATATAATTAAATTAAATATTAATGAGAATTTCAAAAAATGACCTAAACTACTCTCTAAAGTACTACCTAGAGAACATTTTAAGTAATTTCCTTAAATACCTTATACATAATGGTCTTCTTATTATTTTCCATTAACATTTTAGTGCACCATAGATTGGCACATTATCTCTTTTCATATTTTTCATATATGGAATATATTCTTAATGATCTTCTAGAGGAAGTCTCTTTTGAAGCCATTCAAGAAATGGGAATTGGTCCAGGTAGCAGTATTCTTCATTGTTTTCTTTAACCTCTTCATCCCTTGGGTCAATTTAATCATCTAGATAAAAATGTGTAAGCTGATCACTGTTTATGATATTTTTTATAAATTCTTTTTTAGCTTCCTCTTTTTCATTTCAACATTAAAATATAATTAGTTTTTCTCTTTGAATTGGACTATCATCAAATTGTTCTTTTTCTGCTGCTAAAATTCATGCTCCAATTGTTGATTCCATCAACAATTAGATTGCTTAGAAATTTTATCATTTCTTATAGACTACTCCACAATGAGGATTTGTGTCAATGGCAGCATTACCATGGTTTTTTTTAAATAGTTCTAGAGTATTCAAAATATTCAATATTTTCAGTAGCTATGTTAGAAATTTCTTCAAATATCTTCTACATAATGGTCTCCCTTTTACTTTCCGTTAACATTTTGGTGCATCGTAGATTGGCATATTATCTCTTTCCATATATTCCATATTTATGTTAACCATAATGGGTTATGGTACCGACGGCGGCGGTGATAATGGCATAAGCTGTGGTGTCAGCATGGAAGTCACTAGGGTAGGTCATGAAGGTCGGAGGTATAGTCAAAAAATTACGAGTACCTATTATTAATAAAAATATCATTGCTAAAATAATTAATATATTAACAAAAAATTACAATACGAAAAACCATATAGACCAGCATTTCGAATGACGTGTTACCGATGACGAGAAATTGAAGAGTCCAGGCGTCTGCAAAGACTGCAAATACGGCACCATATTGTGCTGACAACGACTGTGACGGAGACGACGCTGACCTTTAGCAACAACGAAGTGCTGCCGTGGTGGGTCCTAATAATGAAAGCAGAGCGGTTGCCGGCGGATTCGGCACATATAGCGTTCGTACCCCACCACTGGGTTGTCGTCGTCCTGTGACGCCAACAGAGGATGCTTGTTCGTCGTTGAATAGGCATCGATTGCTACGGACGGTGGTAAAAGAGTGGGCGATACGGCGGTGGCAGCTGGGCGTACACCGACCGAATATTAACGTTTATTTTTGTCAGGCAGACAGAGAAAATAAAAATATCATGTGATAGGACGGCCGCGAAACATTCTCTTTTCATGGCACACACAAGTGCACCAGAGCGGGACGACGGTTGTTACTACTCGGTGCATTCCCGCCATTTTTTGATTTGCACATGCTCCGCGCGCACAATAATTTTGTATGCCGTCCGTTCAAAACCGGTCGCTGAAATAAAACACACACGCATTATTCATATTATCTTTATTTAGTACCACGACACGAATCAAATTAACGATATTTGATATTTGAATGATATTTAACGCATTAAAAAAAAAAAGTACATACTATAATTAATTGAAGAAAAAATTCCCCGACGTAAGAAAAACAAATCTGCCGTTATAAATTAATACGTACATTCTTAAAATAATAAATATTTTTGTACTTTTATTATTTTAAGTTTGTAAAAAACGGAAATGTTCAAACTTTAAAACCATATTGACCTGCGTTTCAAAAGACGTGTTATCGATGACGAGAAATCGAAGAGTCGAGGTGTCTACAACAAGACTGCAACAACTGCGAATACGACATTGTACTGTATTGTACTAACAACGAATGTGATGGAGACGGCACTGTCCTATAATAACGACAAAGTGTTGCCGTAGTGGGTTCTAATAGCGACAGCAGAGCGGACGGTAGAATTGGCAGAGACAGTCCGTATCTACGACCGTAATAAATGAAATCTATGAGGTTTACTACTCTACAGACGAATGTCTAAACATTTTGATAGTATTATACTAATGTTTCCTAACCTATGAGTCGCGATGAAAGAAAAACATTTTGATTATAGTTTAATAAAATAGAAAAAATAAAAAATATTTAGTAAGAATAATAAGAAAATAAGCAAATGTGAAAAACCGAAAGAAAAAAAACTGAGAAAAAATTAAAAATAGACGAAATTTAAGTATTAGTTAAAAAATATTACGGACTTCTTTTTTCCTGTGAACAACTTTTCTATACTTTAATTATTATTACTTATTAGCGTTTATGAAAAATAAATTCGGCTAAATGGAACGGCTTTTATACGGAATATGATTTTAAAATCGTCAGAAAAATATTACTGCTTTTCCCGTTATGGGGCTCTCGTCATTATCAAGAGTTCCGTGGGCGAGGGGTTAAAGTAACCTCACCGTCACTATCTCGGTATAATCCATCGATTTGCCGTGTGCCGCAGCTGTAAACAGTTCCTACCCTCAGATTTTCGATAATGGACTTGCCCGTTTCGGTAACCTTACCGCCACCGTCTCGAGCTAACCCCTCGAATTCGGTTACCGTACGCCGCAGCTGTAGACGGTTCTTTACCCTCGGATTTTCGATAATGGACTTGCCCGTTTCGGTAACCTCACCGCCACCGTCTCGAGCTCACCCTTCGAATTTGGTTGCCGTATGCCGCAGCTGCGAACGGTTCCTACCCTCGGATTTTCGATAATGGACTTGCCCGTTTCGGTAACTTCACCGCCACCGTCCCGAGCTAACCCCTCGAATTTGGTTACCGTACGAAGCAGCTGCGGACGGTTCTTTACCCTCGGATTTTCGATAATGGACTTGCCCGTTTTCAACACTATCTCCGTAATGCAACACAAAGAATCGTAAAATAAACACAATATATTTATTCGTTTCAACGAGAGACTGTCAATGGCAGAAGGGGAGAGAGGTTATACATCGTCAACCCTCCTATGGCTGATGTCAACTATAAAAAGGGGTAGTTTGCAAAAGTGACACGAAAAAAAACTACATGGTAAAAAAACGTCAAATGTATTTTACTTAAAAAGTACAAATATTAGTGACTAATAAATTGCAGGCTGCTGACCCCCAATCAAATAATTTCCGTTGTATGACTATATATTCCAAAGGTGTGCCCTGAATTGTTTTTTTTTTTTAGGGGGTCTAAATATATGCATTTTCAATTGTAGTAGTATTTTTTTTTTTAATATGTACAGAAATCCGATAGCACGATTGTACATGCTCTTTTACGCACTTGTTTATTAAATAAACTTTACATTTATATTAATTTTTGCACTTTGAGTTTTGATTTAGTCACAGTGATTTTATATTAAATAAGTATTAAAATACAAGTTGAATTTGTTAGGTAATACAATGATACCTGCAGGTTGCTATAAACCAAATTTCATCAATAAAAGGTTCCGATTTCATCTGTAGTATTTAATGCCTAGATATTCTAGGTGATCCATTTAAGTGGGTACACTCATTGTCTCAGAAAGTATTAATTTTTTCCAGAATTTGTTTTCTTGAATATTTAAGAAACAAACTGCTCCATAATTTGTTACGTATATTTTTTTTTGTCATCCTTATTTTTGGGGTTACAACCACTATCTACTTTTCATTTTAAAATCGAAAACTATTCGGTTTGTAGGAGAGTCACAGTGGAATATCATTAAATGATACAAATTTTATGTGGTAGAACAGTGCGTGGAGTGTTTATAATGCACCACTTCTCTCCTCCGACTCGAACCTAAAAGTGGACTATCCCGTCAACGCACAGTGGTCTGAAATGTGATTTTACACGGAGAAAACCCTCCAATTAAAATTAAAATGTATAATTGATTTTCAATTAAAATGTTTAAGTATACATACTAAAAATCCCAACTATAAAATTTCATATTCGTACATATATATCTACCTGAATTGCAGTGGTATATATACGTTTCTTTTATGATAACATTTTTATTTTATCGAATGCTTTACCATTTTTTATGAGTATTTTACTCACATGAATATTTTTTTTTTAACATTCAAGACGATTAATTTGACGTTTAAGTACCTTGAAAAAAAAAGCAAACATGGCTACACAATTTTTTTCATTATTTTTTTTTTCATTTTATAAACAACGAAATTTTAAATTCTGAGTAAAGCGAAGAAGCTTATGGTTTTATAAAGATGTTTTTTTTCTACCAGAGATCATGCTCCGATTTTTAAGTGTAGCACCTTTTTTGAAAAGAAATCGGTGTAGAGAGGTACTTTAGGGAGTTCATTTTCAATTTTCTCAGGAATTTTCTCATCAAATGTAAAAAAACTGAAAATAAAAAACGGAAAAATGTAAGAAATGTAGATATTAGCTAAAAATATTATGGCCTTCTTTTTTTCTGTGAACAACTTTTCTAACAGAAATTTTACTCCAATTTGCAATGATAACAATGTTTCTAAAAAGGAATTTGACTGGAGAAGTACTTTATAGAGGCCATTTTTCGATTTTCTGAAGATTTTTCTCAGCGAATGTGAAAAACCAGGAAAAGATATGACAAAAGAGTATAGGAAACGTAGGAAAAACGGGAAAATTGATACTTCAAACAAATATTATAAATAATAATATATAATATGTATTTAATTGTTTTACCACATTATAAAATATATATTGTTGACAAAATATCACAATTAACTGAACTCGGCTGAGAATCGTTTTTTCGTTAGCAATGCCAATGGTTAATCGTTGCTAACAGATATACATTAAATACACATATCCCTATTATCCTAGGTCGTCTTTTTAAATATATGATTACAGCCGTGGATGACTATTATCCGCTTCATCAGACAAAAGCGATTTTGGACGTGCTTGGAGTGGACCCATCAAAAAAGCGTGATAAAACTGCTTAAAGAATAAATCAAGTACAGACGTAGCATATTGTTTCTAAATACATGAAGATTTGGCACGCATTATTTGTCTTTCGTTTACATATACTACGAATACGACACTAAACCTCCCTTATAATAAAATATTTGGTTAAAAGCAAAGCTATGACGAACCTATCACGTTATGTATTTTTTTCGATATATCTTTTCATAATACGGTTATAATATAATATAATAAAATAATAATATAGTATTCATATTATTTAGAACATGTTTTCTAGAAATCCGAAAACGTATACGTATGGGATATTGGGTCCATTGTCAACATAAATATTATACGTTTTTTTTTTTTTTGAATCGGTACTTTATTGTAATTATACCGATTGAAATAATATTAAAACGGTAGTAATTTTTGATTAGGCATTTAAAATGTGTATTTATTATTTATATTATAATATTGGGAACATAGTGTTTCTGTTACAAATTTAATTATATCGTAATTATGTCGTATAATAGGCCTACGAAGTACGAAGCATATTCGTTCATAAATATCCATAGCAAGAACGAGTACACATTTGAATATATTATGTATTTTAATCGTTCACGCGCGAAACAATACGAATCCGAGTACAAATGTAACTAAATAAAGAATGTACCAATTGTACAAATGTAACTAAATAAAGAATCTACCAATTGTACCGATGTAACGAGTACTTTGGAACCGGTACTGTATTGTAACTGTACCGATTGAAACGATTCCACTAAAGGAACGATAATTCCCACCGCTAGTGTGTAGTAAAACCACTACTGACGATCGATCGTCCCGTCGTTGTGGTCATGGATAAATAATCCGATAATATTTAACGGTGTAAATAGTTATTTCTTACATTTCTAGATTGTATTGTCGTTGACAAAAATTGGTTGTAACGGTGGGTAGATGGGGCGGGGGAGAGGAGACGAGCGCGCGGCCGCGAAATAATATTGTATAGATATTCGGCAGACGGGTGATGTGCGGGTGAGAGGGGGACGTAACAGACCCTCGCTATACAGGCCTGTGCAGGTCCGTTGTCTATTATTATAATTCTTTGTCTACCGATAACCGTAATAAAATATTATTTTAGTATAGGTACTTGTACTCACGATACAGACGAAGAGGGTGTATAGGAGAGTGCGGGGTGATTTAGGTTATCCGACGGTATGGTAACGCTCGTGAAGACACAATTATATGTATCAACCTTTGTATCAGCAGTCGCCGACATTCAGAGAAGTACGGTATACGTTGACCGCCCAATCGGCGGGCGGGGTATGGTGAGCTCGGGTAATTGTGATACTACATTTTGACAAAAATTGTTTGAGTAAAAAATTATGTGGAATACATCTAATTTTTCATTTTTTTTTTTTTTCGAACATATGTGTATTGTCAATTTAAGAAAGACGGTAGAGTCAAAATTGAATGGACTTATTAAGTTTCGAAATTATAGCTTTTTAAAGTTCAGATATTATGCAGATATTACATGTCATATTAAATAATTCTATATTGTCTTGATTGCTATTCGTTTGGTAACCGGGACAACTTCCGGTGACCTGGCTTGCTTATATAAGAAGTGGGCTGGTGTGTTGAAAATAGGTAATTAATATTTCGTTATTTGTAGTTGACCGTAGAAATAACGAAAACCAATTGCGTGAACGACAAATACGTGATAACTCGATTTCTTACGTAATTACGCCATCTTATTATAATATAAAATAATATGGTAACGATAAGCCAGTAAACTACCATATATCCTATACTATAAGATTAAGAGAAACCACACAATCTATAAATAGGCCCGCATTTTTATTTAATAATATCATAGATCATGATTTACGATTATATAATCTGTGATAACACGGAATAAATCTAAACAAAAATTTACTAAAATTCTATTAGAATATTGAACTCAGTGATTTTTGTAAACGGACAGTTTGTTTAGCGTTTGCTACTAAAAATAATACATTCACTATTGGTTTAAATCAGGCACTGGCAATCCGCGGCCCTCGGAACTTTTTGCTACAGCTTTCCAAATATAGAGTAACAACGTAATCTAATCTTATATAATGTATGCATCGTCGATTACGACAAATACTTATCTGGTTATGGCCTTAGTGCAGTTCGTTTCGAGACATTCCAACGTGAAGACATCGCATAAAAATCGTGAAGTTTAAATTTTAACTGCTGAAGTGTTTTATAATTGTCAATTCAATGTCAAAAAAACGTAAAATTTGTAATAAACATCGTACATTTAACGAATCATGGTCAGATTTATATTTTTTTATTCAAAATAAAGGTAAACTGTTATATTTAATTTGCCAAAAAACTATTTTATCTGTAAAGGAGTATAATGTTAAATAACAGAGCAAACTAAGCAGAGCATAAATTAAAATTTGACAATCTCACTAGTGATCTTAGAAAAATTAAAATAAATAATTTTAAAAGTTCATTAAATAATCAACAAAATACTTTTAAATTACAACATAACCAAATGAAAATTTATTCAAGGTTATAATGAAAAGTGAAAAACATCATAATCATAATTCAAAAGACCGTGGTAATTTGGTTACATTTATTAGTCATTATACTATAGATAATATTATAACCATAATTTATAATCAAATTAAATCAACAATAACAAAAAAAGTAAAAGAAGCAAATATGTTTTCAGTATTATTAGACACAAAACAGGATATATCAGTTTTTGATCAATGCTCTATTGTTTTACGATTTGTAAACAATGGAATGATTAATGAAAGATTGATATCTGTAAAATCATGCATTGTTTCTACTGGTATAGGTATGATGAATCTTTTACAAAATGCAATAGAAATGGTTGACTTAAATATAACACATTGTATTGGAAATTCTACAGATAGTAGTGCTTATATGAGAGGGACATATAATGAATTTACTTCTTGGCTAAGTGTAGCAGTACCATAACAAGTACACATTTGGTGCTATAGTCATATTCTCAATCTTGTAACTAGCGATACAACCAAAAGTCCAATTGCAGTAGCTAATTTTTTTCTTTGATTCATTCTTGTGCAGTTTTTTTTAAAGAATCATACTAAAGAATGAATATTTGGAAAGAAATTAGTGAAAAAGATGAGTATAATAATCACAAGCGATTACAATCAATAGGTGAAACAAGGTGGACAGCCAAACAAACAGCATTAAAAAGAATTTGAGGTTCATATAATAGCATTGATGATAATGTAATGTTGACTGATCGTATAATTGTTTTGACAAATATTGAACAAAAATCAAATTTAAACCCAGGTGTAAAATCTAAAACCAATAATTTTATTTCATCTTTTCTTAAATATGAAACTATTTTAATAACTCATGTGTATATGAAAATATTTCAAATTATAGGACCATTATCAAGATATTTACTATCAAGTAAACTAGATATTTTAAAATGTCAACAAATTGTAGTGCTTTAAAAGTTCTTAAAAATATCCAAAGTAGTATGGAAGATGTAAAAAAAGTTAGTGATAAGTATATAATTAATATTATAAATGAAATTAAAATTAAAAAATATATATATATATATATATATATATATTTATTAAAGAGATGTTAATGATATTAATTGGGTGATGAAAGTTTCTACACATGTATGGTCCAAAAATATGTTTATACATTATTAAACAAAAATTATAAATAGGTATACAACTCTCAATATGGTATCAAAAAATGGTAAATATTGAAATGGCCTGGACATATATTTTTCCGGTAAGAAATTTCGAGCCACTCCGCTCCTGGTTGTAGTCGAATGGTTATGAATAAATTTTGTTATACTAGAAGTCGCGTGTTCAACCCCGGGGTTCGATAAGACATATTATTCATTATTTTCCCAATTTTACCTAAATAGGGAAAAAACAAATGCATTTTAAATGTATCTATAAACCTAGCATCGCTTGCTCGGACGATTTTAATCGAAAAATACCCCTCGATTTGTTGTGCAAACTTTTCTACCAGAAATCTTGCTCCTATATATCAAGTATAGCTTATTTTCTGAAAGGAAATTTTATTTTTATGGTTTAAGGAGGTAATTTTTCGATTTTTCCAAGTTTTCTTAGCAAATGTGATAATCCGGGAAAAAACATAGGAAAACGGGAAAATCGATACAATATTAAACAAATATTATTAAAGAAAATATATAATGTCTATTTAATTATTTTACCATAATTGGTATATATATTTTTGATAAAGCATTACTATCAACTGAACTGCGCTCAGAATCGGTTTTTCGTTAGCAATGGTTTATCGTTGCTTGCAAATGAACATTAAATCACCTATAACAGTGGCTGCACCCGTCTCCATTATTCTAGGACGTCTTTTTATAATATGTTTTTGAATTTTTTGATTTGTACAATAAATGTTGTACACATCGCGAATTGTATAATATAACTTGTACAATCTAGTTACTTTGTACAGCAACATGGAACAATTCACGAATTGTACAAAAATCATTGAACGCATTGCGAAATGTACAATTCCAGACTTTGGAAGTAACATATGCATTAGAAATCTACAGTGGTCACATCTTAACAATTGCGACATAGTTTCTTTGATAGACCTATGCACGGGCCACTTAATAAGTTTACCCGACAGTTACTCTTGGGTGAGGCGTTTCTGGTAACTCATACCCGACCGATGTTAGTGTATATTCTTCCATGATTGAAACACAGCGCACCTGGTGGTAGTCATTGACATCTCATATTCATTGTCATATATTTCATATCGATTGAATGTCCACCCTGTTTCGCACTCTTCGCAGGAGTGCAGTTTATCGTTTACCGACGAATAGTCGTCAGTCCGTAGTGACCGGATTTTGTCCAGTTCGTTAAACGCGTCGCTAGCGTATTATTATTATTGCTTTTATATAACTTTGCACGAGTAGTCTACGTATTGCATAATCGTATATTTTTTTATTAACTATTAACAATAAACGACCGACGCCAGAGTTTTTACAATCAATACGTTTTTATAAAACACATTATACGGAAGTACATTAAATTATCACTATCGTTGTGGCCGTGTAATTGACATTACGAGCGTTGACGTGTTTTTTCCATACGGGCCCCTTTGACACAGTTTGTGTTCCACCAACATTTAATTTTAATTTTTATTGATCTTTTACATATTATTCGGTACGTAAAACATTATTATAATTTTTGAGTCACATTGAAAAAAAAAAAAACAGCATCACCGAGAACCATGATGGAATTGTTTACCTAATGATGGCTATGGAAGAAACGAATATGCGCCGTTGTTGTCAAGATTCTATCTGTGAGCTCATCGTCGCCATTATCTTTGTCTACGGATATTAAATCTTTCTCGGTTTATACAATTGTTTCTCATGAGCTTCTTATAAGTGTCTTTTAAGAATAATTTATATTTTATTAATTTACATTGGATAAAAACTATTGTAAATCACAAGAGTACATTCAAAGGCACATACCAGAAACAACCATGGTAAGTTTGAAGGTATAATTTATTTATCCTACCCTATGTAATGTAATAATATGGCTTTTGTCTTTCTTTTTTACTGTGACGTGTTTTTAACAATAATAATAAATAGGTAATTACAATAAAAAGTAAATATAACTCCAGATAGGTTAGTTTTTGTTTGAAAATTTAATTTACAAGTGATTGTATATGAAAATAGTAATAGTTATTAGGTATTTTAATTTTTTTTAACAAATTTTCCTTATATATGTTTTTATAAATAACAATTAGGTACTTGATAATAATCCAAAACCAATTTTTTTTCAAGAATTAACCTAGTTAAATATTAAATTCATTACAAGTTGATATCTTAGAAATATTTAACAAAATATGTGCAAATAGTATGCTTGAATCTTAAAATACAATTTACAAACTTAATTGAGTTATTATATTGGGATCTTGTATGAATTTTGTTAATATATTAATTCATTATTTATTTCCAATTTGTTTATAGTATTAGGTTTTGATCAGGTGTCTACACTGTGTATACCAATTAAATTTAATGTGTAAGTTGTAAATGCCACTATTATATGAAATCTACACAATTGCAAGGTTTTGATTTTTAAGATATTCCTGAAATCCTTCATATAAACTGCTATAGACATTATCATAAGATTAGCCACAACACTTTATTATACAAAGTCCAGTAATTTTCTGTAATTTACATAAGATATTAAAAATTGACTATCCTTTATGACTAGTTACTGGTGTTAGTTTAAACAATCACTCATGAACTTTGATGAAATACAATATCTGAGTAGTATAGCCATTTGATCTATTTTTACTAGATTTGGAGGTAGAATTTATAATTATAGAAAAGTATTTTCTGTTTAACTTCTTCTACTAAATCATTTTTCATAAAGTTTAAACCTATGTTGTTATATTTGCTATGTTATATAATGTTTTGGCATATATTATGGATTATCTTTCCCCTAATTACTACCATCTAACTTAATATGTATTTTAAAAATGGATCAAAGTTAGCAACGAGCTCTAATAATCCTATATAATTTCTATTGTAATTGACTATGAAAATTTCATAATCTCCTTTTATAACCAGAAACTTAACAACACTTGCTGTAAGTATTTGAATTCAATAGTCCTACTCAACTGAAATTTGTCAACACATTTCTTTATTAACAGATATTTTTGTACTTGATAGTAGTAACCATTTTGTAGTAACACTCTTATAGTCAAGACTATTTTTATGAAATAAAATTTTATTTAATTTTTTCCAATTTAAAAATCTAATACCTACAAAGGGATCTTTATCATTAGACATCAGCAATCTTGTAGTATGCGCTCTACCATTTTTACAACTCTACAGCAATATTTAGATAATATCTTCTAAGAAGTGGATGATGTTACAGTGTTTTGTTGTTAAAATAATTATAAATAAGTAATATATAATTAAAAATGATTATAAATTATCAAAATTGTTATTCATTATCAATTGTTTCAATTATCATTAATAATTTTAAAAAAAATATTGTAACATTATTTTGCATCAAAATGTGTTCTTTTGTTATTGTTGTACAAGCCGAATCCCTAAGCTCTACCAAGCTATCTTCTCTAGTTTCTTGCGCCTAAACTCACAGGTTTTTCATTTTGTATAATGATGTAAAATTTTTTTGCTAACATTTGAAACATGCCGTGCCATGAAAATAACATGTGAACTCAAGTATTGACTAAGTATACTATAAATAAATAATACACTTTACACGATTTCACAGATTAAATGATAATATAATGGAAAAAGATTACTAATTTTTTTTACCATTAAATTAGGATAGATAAAGATATAAATAACATGGTATAGCACATAGGACAAACATCTCATAATTGCTGATAGACCGCAGTCTGCGGTAGAGTCTATACAAAAAAATAGTCCAGTTGCAATTGTATTAGTCATTTCTCTCCATTGGATAACTTTAATTAAAAAGAAGTTAGTAACAGATGATGATGTATGATCATTTTTTAAAATACAAAAAAATAAAACAATAATTTAGAAATAGTAACCAAATAAATATAATGATTTATATTTTAAATTAATTTAATATTTATTAAAGTTTTTTACATTCACCTTTCCTTCCAGCTGAATTTTTAAATGAATAATTATCATTTTGAAAGAATTCTGGTCCTTTTTCTATACAATATGAAATAAAGTCATCATCAAATGAAATGCTCAGTAGAATGAATCTTAGTAATACATTTTATGTATCACTGTTGATTGGACAAATAAATCCTTTGCATTATTATTTCAGAATAATAAATAAATAAAAATATAAAAAAATACTATAAAAATAAAATGTATAAATAATGTGTTCATTTTTACCATTCATATTATAAGTCGGTCAAAAATATTTCTTATACGTATATTACGAAAAATTCATACAAAAAATTGATTAATTTTTAGTAACTCTATTGTCTTTAATTTATTTTCTCCTTTTTACATTTTCGTTACCATCTAAATATTCTTTATTTACACCTGACATAATGTAAAATCAATGTAAGTAACGAAAAATTTGTTGGTACAAACTGATGTACCGACACATTTTATACTGGTTTACTAACACTTAATACCGGTTATTACACACTAGTCATAGATATTCGACAATTGGAATCGGTGTATCCACACCAATGTCCAAAATAAATAATGAATATTATCAATTAAATATTAATAAATTATTTTATTATTGCCTATACTTACCATTTTGCAATTATAAATACATAAGTAGTAATTAGTAAGTAATTAAAAAAAATGACAACTAATCCATTTAAAATTAAACTTTTTAAAGAGTTTATTTTGAATTAAAATCGCAGATACCGATATATTAATACATCAATGTTAAAACTAACAGTACAAAGACAAATTTGACTCACGTAAACGCAAATTTGCAATGTCGTTCATTTGTAAGATTTAGCGTCTTATTTAAACATTACAAATTACTTACCTTCAATATGGTCATCCAAATGGTCCCAAATTAATTTGAATATTAATTGTTATTAATTAAATTATTATTATTATCATTTATCTGTTCGTTTGTACTAACGAATTTCTTGTAAAACACCAATTACGTATAAGTATAAATTATTCAAACCGATTAACGAATTATAAATGTATAAAACATTCACATTAATATTCACTGATTTACTTTATGAATAATATAACAATAACAACAACAATAATAGCATGATAAAATATAATATATAATTAATATAATGTAGTGTAGTCGGTAGGTATATGACTATTATAAGTGAATAGGTTACCATGATGCTCGCACAATTTAGTATATTTCCCCAATAATTAAATTCATAAATAAAGCGATAACAAAATATAACTATACACACAAAGCTGAGCTATGGCCCCCCCCTTGCCATGCTCAGACACCATTATCATTTATTATCTATATACATACATCTCGATGTCTATACACAATCGTTAAAGATAGATTCTATCTATAACCGCCACAGTCACAAATTTAATAGTAAGACGTTTCGTTAACAATTGATGAAGACGACTGTTCGAAACAAACTGTTATTGCGGTTCATTCCATAAGAAATACACAAATGGAAAATTGGAAAATATGTTCTTCACAAATATATACATATATGCCGATCATAAATATGAAGCTAAACTATTTATTTGTCAATACTACGACTATTGGTATTGACGGATATACAATATTGTTCTCAACACAAACAATTGAATCGCGGACAAGAATGTAAAAAAAGTGATGAACTTCGTTTAGAAGTTAAGGGGGAAAACTTAAAAATGTTAGGGTTTTCCGTTTCGCGTATTTTCTTAGTTAGAATTTAACATTTTCTATTTTTTTTTCCAAAATTGTGTTTTGAAATGCTTAATCCATTGGTACAGTCAAAACATGCCTATCATATTAGGCACTTAAAGAAAAATAAAAAAAAATGAAAAATAGTAATGTGTCCGTCCTTTTTTTTCCCCGTTACCTAAATATTTATTTATTTTTAATATGTGTATAAATATTTAATCAAAAAATTTGTTTTTATTTCAGGCACCAATTGATCCTATCCAGTCATTAAACAACTTACAAAGATTTTTAAATAAAAACACAGGTGGTCTTAAAGACCCTCAAGCAGCAATGCAGATTTCTCAGTAAGATTATTATTAAATTAAGCATAAAATTTCACTATAAATAGGATCAAAAATATCTATTACATTATGTTACACAACTTTTTATAAATGTGTACAATTTGTTTTCTATCAGAAATATTACTCCAATAAAAAAACAACAAGAGACCTTTTGCTGTATTTTTAATCTAGTTGGTGATTAAGACAATCGGTTTTTGATGAAGTTTTGTGTAGTTTTCATAATAATTGAGCAAAATTGAAAAAAAAACCTTAGAAAGATAGGGTAAAATTTCAATTTTATTTTTCTGTTGTGATTTAGTTCAAAATATTTATAGAGACCACATTTTGATAAAAAACTTTTATTTGATTTTTCTATATGTTGTAGAAACATGAGAGATTTTTTAGCTTTAAATAAGTATTTTATGTTTGCAAGTTGTATACATAGTTTTTATGTGGTAAATACTTTGTGGATATAATTGTTTGAACAAATAGAAATACTTGAAATTTAATAAGATAGAGGTTTATGAGTTGTACTTTGTGTTAAAAAAAGTGTAATGTAATTTTTTTCTTTCATAAGTTTATCATAAATTTTGATGGAAATCATACATATTACAGTTTTTAAAACATATATAACAGAACTTCCCTCAGAATCATTTTTCATTAGCAATGGTATGTTTTTGCTTACAGATATAAATTAAATAACTTTATGTATTCTACCTTCTAACTTCTCATCTACAACAGTGATACACTTGTATCCAGTATCAGTTTTAAAAAAAATATTATGTTTCTTTACATGTTTTTAAATTATTGTAATATTAAGTTTTTATAGATTGATTCTCACTATTATAGAACTTTTTCAATATTTAAATTATATTTTGTAATTATGTGTTATTTTATTATAATAATTACTTGGCTTGGTTTGTTTTAGATTAATGATAACACAATTTTCAAACAAAATTGTTGAGAACACTTTATGTATATTAATTTTAAAGAAAACTACTCCACAACTAATAAAAAAGTAAGTAATAATTTGATATTTCTGTTTGAAAATATGCTATACCTGTATGTTTTACAATTTTTGTCTTAAAGTAATATACCTAAAAATGATATAAGTTATGTTTATGATTGATCTATTAATCTATACAAATATATATAAAAAGAACATGTACAATTAGTGAAGTAGGTAGGTATACTAAAACTTAATTTAACAACACTTAAAAAAAAAATATGTAAGTATCCCTTTCATTAGCACTGTCCATTTCAATGGACATGACTTTTTGGTCATGACTAGAGTGTGGATCAATATTTTAATTAAATAATTGATTAAATGATAACAATTTAATATAATAATAATTTATTGAGTATGCAATTTGAATTAATTGTGTAATAAAAGGGCTAATTTAATACAATATAATGTACTGATTATATTACAATGATGGTTTAAACCTTAATTATTAATTTCAAAAAGATTAAAATATCAAAATGTTCAAAATTAAAAATTTTGTTGTATGATTTTTTATTATTCAGAAGAAATTAAATTCTATGATTTATTTCTAATACGTGATAGTTAATAGTTAAATACATTTCATTTTTTTTCTAAAATTCAAAAAAAAACTTATATTTTTTATTTTCTCTAAAATGTTAATTCCCAGGTGAGTAATTATACATATGACTAAACTATTTTTCAACGAGAGAAAGGTAGTGTAGACTGAGCTACGGATCGCTGCCGGAATAATACACTTGGCCCGATAGTGGTGGGAGCCTTGCGCGAGGTGAGGCGTGGGGATGCGTAAGAATGACTGGTTTTCGTCAAGACTCTCTACCGGTCTTTCGTGAAAAATATAGATTTAATAAGTTTTTTTTAGTTCTACTCTTTTATTTTTTAAGTAAAAAATTATATAGGTAGGTACCTATATTATTTTTTTATTTAATATAATATTTGGATTCCAAGGTTGATATATAAATGTTTTACAGCCATATTTCTTACACTTAAGGATATTATAATTCAGTAATCTGTTTATTGTTGTTAAATTATAATATTTTAGAAAGATACTGAGAATTAGTTACATGTGCTAGAAATAGAGAACAAATTTAATTGAAGCTCTTACATTTCTAGGGATTCCAAAAATAAATCAACCATGCCCTATAGCTGTAGATTAAGAATATTACTATTATTAATATTTTACATAAACCTAGCAAAAAATAAAACAGTAATGTAAAAATAAAATTGTACATAGGTTATGTGTGTGATCGTTTTAAAATTAACATAGTTGATAAGTAAACCACAAAAAAAACCTACTTAATAGTACAGTTAGTTTTAATTACATTTTGTTTATTCAAAAATCATTAATTAAAACTTAAAATAAATGATATAAAGTAAAAGGAATTTAAAAAGTTCTTATTAATACTTTAACTTTTCAGAAATTTGTTATTTAATTTAAATTTTATAAATTGTATTAAATTATATTTTTAAAAATATCTTAACATTATTTTATTCTATAAACATACTATTATAATTTGACTATATTTTCATACCATTGTATTTATTGTGTTTAGATAATATATTAGAATTGACCTCGTATTAGATAGATTGATCTATTAATTACTTTTTCAAATAATTTGTTTTACCTAAGGTGGGAGCTATAGGTCTTTATTATTTTTTTTTTTTTAATAAAGTATGCTTGTATATCACACAGTATTAAGAATTATTATTTTGGTAATACCATGTTATGACTAAAAATAAATTAAAAATAATTCAAATTCAAATTTATTATTTGTTTAATGAAATACTATTTGTTCGTTATATTGTGGTATATTAGGAATTATAGGTATTATCGAAAGTATATAAATGCTGTAGTCTATCAATTACCAGACTACTCTCTCTACTATACTAATTTAAACATAAACCAAAATGATGGTTTTATGGTTTTCATTAATAACTTTATAACCACCATTTATACTTTAAAGTTACAATCTCAAACAAAAATTGGTCTAGAAATCTGAATTAGAAAATGGAATTCAAATTTTCTAATTATGCTATTTATAGATCTTCTAATAATAATGCTAAATTACTTAAAAATCTCTATACAAGAAAAAGTTGAAATGAATACTGATTATAAAAATCATAATTGGTGATATTAATTTAGACTTACTTTTTACTTTATTACTTACTAATAAATACATTTCTAATGTGGCCAAATTCTGATATATAAAAAGATTGCTTCAATTACTTGACTCCCATCAAATACTTGCCTTGATCACATATTTTTGAAAAGCAAAAATCAGTCCAACTATTTTAACAAATCACTGCCTAATATTTATAAATATTGGAAACTGCAAACTTGATAAACAATAGAAATAATAATCCTGATCCACTAACAACAGGTGCAGTTACTGTTGTAGGAGGGAAGTTGGAAAGGTAGGATACAGAAGGGAATTTAATGTATATCTGTAAGCAACAATAAACAATTACTGAGTGGAGTTTAGTTGATAGTAATGCTTTGTCAACAATATATATATATGTCATATTATGGTAAAATAATTACAAATACATTATATATTTTCTTTAATAATATTTTGTTTAATATTGCTCCTATCCCTTCCCCGTGGTCTAGATAATCAACAAACCTTGATTAAAATATCAGACAAATTGATAACAGATTAGCCTTTTATAATATAAATGTGTTAAATATTAACTATTTAAATACTAATTTAGAAATTGTGTGCTGTTTGTATACTTATTGAACTAAAATATTGTTAGTTTACTATTAATAGCTGTATATTTATGTACTTATAATGGATTCAGAACTTCTAGGCCCGCAGACGAGTTCTCCCAGTGGGGCCTAGTATTTCGAAAAAAAATAAAAATAAAAAATATTTGTTGTCATGTAATACAAACATGGTTTTTTATTGATTATACCTATTATTCTATATTTAATTTTCTTAATCTATATTTTGTTTTGTATGACCTCAATTTATAGATTCATGAATGCTGGTGGTTGGAATTTGACAAATGAATGGTTAAAAACCGCTGTTGAAAATGAAAACATTACGCTAATTCAGGATATATTACAAATTTTTGATATTTTCTCTGTGACAGTATCTACATTAAAATCTAATGAAGGACCAAAATTGATCAATAAATTATCCGAAACTCATATTGATGAAGGTAATTATTGAATAGTTTAAAGCTTAAATACACATAACATGGCCTTATTTTTTTTTTTTAATTAAAATAAAATAAGATAATCCTAGCCATTGCAGGCTATCTATATCTATAGATAAGAAAAAAAAAAAAAGGCCTTATTAAAATGTTATATTTAATACCTATTTAAATTGAAAAATTGTTTAATCTTTGTTTTTGTTTATTATAATCTAAAGGCTGATAAATATTGTAGCAAAATAATTAAAAACTCCTAACATTTGAAAATTGTAGGGTTCTCCTAGGATTTAACATTTGTAGAAGGTATTTTAGTAATAGTTTTTAAAATTTAAATTTCAGAAGTGAAAATAATTGCACAACATTTAGTTGGCAAATGGTCCAAATTAGTTAAAGTTGAAGATTGGGAAACTATGATAAGTAGTAAGAAAAGCCAGTTAAAACAAGAAATGTTGAAAGAAAGAAAAAAATATTGTCAGGAAGACAAAATTAAAGAAGGGAAACATACTAATAATACAGTTTGTAATCCCTTCTTAAGAATAATTGAAGAAATGGCTGAATTTAAATCTAATACAGATAAGCAAATAGAAAATGAAAACCGAAATACATATAACAAAAGAAAACAAAATGCATCAACATTTCAAAGTACTATTTTAATAGAACAAGCGCCGCTATCATCACTTTGTACTGGATCCAGAGTACAATCTAACAAGACTAAGAATTGTACACCTTCATCCTCACTAAATAATTTAAAAAGAAGTTTACCATCACCATTAGATTCTCCAAATAAAAAGAAAGTTAAGATAGCTTCTCTAGACTGGGAAACACAATCAAGTAAGATTTTAAATTTGGATTTATAATTTCAATTTTTTATTTATTTTCTTTAAGTTATCACATTATTAGTGTAATGAATGAATCTAGAATTACATACATTAATATAATATAAAATAATTGTAACACTAAGTTATCACATAAAGAAATACTAGATAATTAATAGAACTAATTTCTTTTTTAATTTCATTTAGGAAATTTAGGAAAATTAAATTAATTACTTTTGTTAATATATTTTGTTTTAGTATAGCTAAACATTAATTTCTTTTAATAATTATCATATATTCAATCACAACAAAAACACTTCATTATAACTCTGTGTAAAAAAAATTAAATCTTTAAAAGATGCGATACAATATGGAAACTAAGTAAAATGTCATTTTATAATATTACAAATACTTATGAGGACAAATAAGATAATTATAAAGTTAAATAGGTACTTAGTCATATTGTTTAACTACTTGGTAGGACGTGTAAGGATACTTAGATAAATACAAATAATTAACCATCATAGTAAATAAATTAAAAGGTAATTTATACAAAATATGTTGGCCTCACAGCTAAGTAATTGCTATTTAAACTTTTTAATAACATTAGATATACACTAAAACTTCCAAAAATATGGAAAAATTCTTAAGTGGTCAATCATTGATAAAATGGCTCAAGTTGATAAACAAACAATCAAATATCAACTGTAGTTAAATATCATGAATTTAAGTTTGTTCTTCCTTTCTTATATCTGTATTCCTTTATTCGATATATGATATTCCATTTGTTTGTGTCAATTCTAATTATTACATATAATGTCTTATTCGTGCATAATTTTAAATTGTGACAACAAATCCAAAGCTGGCAATAAGACACATTTTTTTACGCAAGTGTAATTATTTATGGATGATAATATATTTTGAATATATATATATGGGTTTACTTACTGTAAATTTTAGTTATGATTTTAAAATATTTATTAGAAAACAAATTTAGTAACACGTACCATATTAGGTAATATGAAAATGCGACCAGTGGTTAATATTATGGGTGTACATTTTATTTATTAATGACATTCCGTGTGTTCCTAAATTATTCTGCTAATTCAGCAGATTGATAGAGTTTAGGAACACTTTTGGTTATTCATTTGGAGCATTTTGTTAATACCATTATTTAATGTTACCAATAGGCCATACTCACCATTAGTTTATTATTATAATTTTTCATTATTTTCATCGAGACTATAAGTATAAACTATGAAACATTTAATTGAAAATTACAATAAAATATAATATAGGTATACATACTAGACTTAAATGATATACAAATCATCATCTAAATGTTATATAAAAAGTATTTCCAGCACACAAAAAACGTATGTCCATTGTATTATAATTGTCGAGTGTTGGAATTGTAATTTGGAAACACATTAGCACATTAGACAACAAATTTTAACGCAAAACAAATTTTTTAGCAGTAACGAGGCTAAAGGTTTTTGGTTGGGGAGACACTGAAAAAAATGGCACTTATACGCCTAGACTTCCCCTTTTTTATTTTATCTAACAGTATGAATTAAATGTTCAAAAATTAAAATCAAAATATATCATTATTTAAATTATTATTATATTATTATTATTATTTTTATAACATTATATTTAAAAACGTTACAACTTCCTTAAAATGATAATTTAATATAATAACAAATCACAAATGTATTATAATTTAAAACCAACAAAATAAAATATTATATAATATACTGTATATATGCAACTCGCATTAAGATGACGTTTAAAAACAAATTTACATTAATTTATACGTTAAATCTATTTTTCTTTTTTTTGTCTTAGAAAGTAAGTCGATAACATTGTCAATAAATATTGGGTCAGTGGCTAATTCGCTCAACATTTAATTAAAAACACTCAAACACGTATGACGTAGGTACCTATCACGACGGCGACGTCGATAATAAATATCGAGTACTGAGGTAATTACGAACGGCGAAACGCGTCTCATGGCGTAAATAATAAACGCCACTCAGATTAAAATTCCCCCTGTACCCGCGCGCCCGTATTTGTGAGACGATGCGTGGCGACGTCTATTAGATTTAATACCATATTTGGAATGACCCGTATCGCCAGCTCGTATGCACGGCCGTATCGCGCGCATCTAATCTATTTTAAGAATTCTATAACTGTACAACGCGAAACCGATTTAAACAAAACAAATATTGAAACATACATCATATTATATTCATATTTATGATATAAAATATAAATATTAAATTAAAATTTGTAAATATTTTATAAAACAAAATAATTATTTATTTGTTCCGTGTTCTAATTTCTAAGTGGGGAGACGTTGTCTCTTTGTCTCCTATGACGCTTCGCCACTATTTAGTAAATTAATTTTAATTTTGGCACATAAAATGTTTATCAAATCTATCTGGTTAAACGCTATTCCATCCATAAAGTATCAGATTGCTGATAAAGCAATCTAAATGATCACTTCCCCTCTAACGTATTGGTCAGCAGCTGAGTTTAGGAACAGTTAAATCTAGCGACTAATCAATCTGTTGAATTTAGGAATATACGGATTGTTGTTTGATATGTTATGTGATAATAAGCGTTGTGATAACATCCTCCCTCAACTTTAAGTTATCTTGGTGCCACCTGAGTATACACGCACATGTCAATTTAGTGATATATAATAGTATTCATTTTATTAAATAAAAATATTATATTAATTAGTTATGAATTATAAACAACGAGTTTAATAAATGTAACACTCTTTCTCCGATATTAAAATAAAAGTAAACGTTTCTTTGTAATTTTCAGTCGATAATCATAGTCTATAAATAAATAACTTAGATAATTACTATTAAGCCAGTAAATTTGGTAATAATACAGTCGTAAAATATAAGAACGAAATTGGTAGTGAAGTCGAAACGTATGAAGGTACGGTTTCCAAGACGCGGCGGCCGATCACCGCGGCTTTTCCATGAACAGTGTTTATACACGTAGTGCCTATAGACTAGTTTCCAATGCGCAGCTGCGGCTCGCGACTGAACTAGAACCGCCGCGGCCGGCGACTCTAGTCGAAAATCGTGTTTTTGTTAAAACTTTTGCAGTCGCTGATAGTAGTATATAGACATATAGTATATACTACCATAATTTAACTAATATTCTAGTATTGAACTATAATATAGGGTGGCTATTCGTCCCGGATTTTCCCGGACGTTATCGATTTAGAAACCCATGTCCCGGCGTTCCGACATCGTTTTGTACCGGTTTTTTACTTTTGCATAGTAATGTCCTAGATTTTAAAATTGTTATTTGTTTCCATAATATTCTTATACCTACTATACTTATTTGGTTATCGATTTTATTTTGAACAAAACCTAATCACAAATATGAAATATTTAATACTTTAACAATATTCGATGACGAACGATAATCGCTTTCTAAATTTAACCAAACTACTTTATCTTTTGCCCATATTTTCAGTAAGAAAACACTGTTATGACAAAGATTGCAAAAGGTTATATATTATATAATATTATATACTTTAAATCAGTACACATTTATTTGCTGATGAGACACGATTGTAAAATGTATTAATATTTTGGTACGTATTTAGTGTCGTAATTTTACATAGTTCTTTCGTTTACGTAGTGATTATGCCGCTTAAAAAACTGTGTCATTTTTAATGATAAGTTATAAAATGATTTTCCATTTATTAAAAAAGTTAAACCTTCTGACGATTTCAATGTACAGTGTGCAACTTGCCATGGAACATCTTCACTAAGTCATGGTGGATCATCTCAAAACGCAAAAACATGAAATAGTAACCATTTCAATCCAGTAAAGTTTCCAATTATTTTTCTGCTTTAGTTCCTACTAAATATGATTATTTGTTAATTGTCCGCGAACCTACTTTTGTGTATCATACCGTAATTCATAATCAAAGTTTTCGTTCAATGTCTTGCGCATTAGAATTGATTAGTCAATGTTTAAATGACAAACCTTTCATTTGTGCAAAAACAAAAACTAGGGAAATAACTATCTGATAACAAAAACTTGTTGGCTTGTGTTGTTTAGAATTTTATAGTGAAATTATTAAAAATCTTACTTTACTAAAGAAAGTTCACTTCACTGAAAAATACAGTGTCCAAGGACGATAAAAATATTAAATTTGAAAAATTATATATATTTGTATAATGTAAAATTATCTTAATATGTATATTTTATTACAATAGTATCATATTAAATATTAATACCTAATTAGTGTGTAATGTCTATTGCTTTATATACTTAATATACTTTATAAAGCATTTAATACTTTTTTTATGAGAACAATTTAATTTTAATGTTCTGGATTACTTAAAATTTAATCTGGCCACCCTAGACTATAATATATTTATATTAATATGTGTTAAAATTAAATATTCAATTTTCTCTATGAATTTACCAAACCAATGTTTATTTTAATCTTAATGTATCATATTTTTATTTGTTAATTATTAGGTGTATCAATCTACTCAAGACTTTCTTAAAATTCATTTACGATTTTTTACTTTTTTATAGCCACAATTGAAGAAAGAGATATATTTTTGAATGCCATGTCAAATGTTTTGAAATCTGCTCCGAAAGTCATTAAAAAGCAAGAACCTGAGTCAGAAACTGTTAAAAAAGTTACAAAGCATACATTTCCGGTATCAACAATGTCGACACCTCAATTGACTACAAAGACTAAACTACCATCACCACTACGATCTCTAGTTTCATCATCAACATTGATCATGGACTGTGATTCTTCTATACCCAACAGAAATGTTGATGAGCAACAAGAAGAACCAATGATTGAAAGTTCACCTACATTAGAAGTACTTACATTTTATACATTAATAATCTCAAATAATAATTTTTTTAGTTCTTTAAGTTATTCAACATTTCTTGTTGTATTATTATTATTGAACAGTTTCAGGAAAACGACGTATTTGATGAGTTGGATAAACTTCTTTGTAGTATTGCAGAAGAAGAAAATATGAAAAATGCCCGTTGTAAGTATAGAATCCTTGGGATATTATAACATGAATATCATATACTTGTACTAAAGTTTAACATGTTTATGATTAAAATGTATTTATAAATATTTGCAATGTACCTATATGTAAATTATTATAAAGGAATGTATTTTAATATTATTTAATTGCTGTCAAATCACCTAAAAATGATAATGATGATAAGAAAATTGGCTTAAAAAATGTGCTGTAAAGTGTAGGTATGTTCAAAAAGAATCATTACAGAAAACTGTTTCTTGGAAACAAGTAACAGATTTGGTACACATATCTTATTATAAACACAATGAAATTGAAAGGTGTATATTATTAAAATATATCATATTAGGTTCAATTTAGATGGACCACTTAAGAACCACATAAAGTTAGTCATTCTTTAGTATATTAATAACATATAAAATAATCTGAAAAACTTAATCTAACTTAGCCGGGCCACTTCTGATAACAGTATTAACAGGATATTGCCCACAAAATTGTGTCAAGTGTAACTTTAACATACACAATACACTAGAACACACCAACCACTTACCATTAGCATGCAATTATTATCTTATCTTCTAGAAAAGGTAAATAAAAATGTATTATCAGTATATGTATAGATATAAAACCTAAGTTACTCACACTGTATATACTGGGTGTTCAAGAAAATATTGACCAACTCTAAGGTTAGGTTTATCAAATTTTGATATTTTTTTTTCTGATATCAAAAATTTTGATTTACTGGATTTATTTGTAAAATATCTCCTTTCCCCTCCCAAAAAAACCCCTCAATTGCATGTAAAATTTGTTTACAATAAAAAGGCTCATTCAATTTTTTTCTTATAATAAACTTATTTTGAAATTAACAAATTTCCTTTTACAAAATAAAATAAAATAAGTTTTAACTATAATCATTTTTTGTATTTGGGTGCTATTATCTGGGACTAATGAACTTTATAAAATGTTTACTTCAAAACTAATACTATATTATTTAGAAAATATAATATAAATTAATAAATGTTATTTTCAGTTCCTGCTGATAGTATGAAACCCCAGATTGCTTGGCGTAATCTAGATGATAGCTTGTTAGTTGAAATCCCCGAAAAGCCGTATGGTGAAGAAATAATACCAGGTAGTGGAAGTAAAGAAAAAAAGAAGTATGAAGAAATGCATCCACCTATGGTGAATTTTTCGAAATCTTATAATTTCGCTAGATATTTGTAAGTGTGCACATTAATTATTAATATTAATTATGTGCATCTCGTGTGTTTTAATGACATTATTATTATTTTTATTGTACAGGATATATGATACCCCCGAAGAACCCAATCAAATGGAAGTAGTTCCTTACTTTGAACCTTTGAACATACCACTAAAAGACATGTCAGGGGACAAACCTACCACATATTGTTATGATGATATTCCGTGGCCAGATCCCAAGGGTGAGCAGCCACCTCCCATAGAATTCACATACCAATATAATAATATAGTACTGATGCAGCAACAAATGCTCTTAAGATATTATGGCAACCAAATGAATTCAGTTTTGTCTACCTATAACGATATGACAAGAATGGTATTACCAGTAAATAAAATGTCTCCTAATCTGATGATAAAAAACAATCAAATGCTTATGGGTGAACAGATATATGGATACCATCCATCATCACAACCACCACTACCACTACTACCACCACCACTACCACCACCACTACCACCACTACCACCACCACTACCACCACCACTACCACCACTACCACCACTACCACCAATAATATCGCTACCACCACTACCACCACCATCACCATCACCACCACCATCACCATCAACATCAACATCAACATCAACATCACCATCATCACCACCATCACCACCATCACCTTCATCAACATCAACATCGTTACCACAACAACAGCAAAGTCAATTAAAACTGACAACCAACAACAGACCATATGTGGAAAGAGATGGTCCTAATTATAGATATGGTAAAAATTATGACTCTTATCAAAAGAAACCAGAAAGATTTCCATATGATAACAGAGATGGTCTATCCAGCCACAGAGATGGTCTATCCAGCCACAGAGATGATGATGATAGCTATGGTTATTATCGGGGAAAAATGGAGCAGAGATATAAATATGGTAACAGGGATGATCTATCCAGCCATAGAGCTGGTAATAGAAGTTACTATTATAGAGAGAAAATGGAGCAGAAATATCAATATAGTCAGAGGGATCATCCATTCAGCTACAGAGGTGGTAATAATTATGGCTCCAATCATGGGTATTCTAAATATCAACAAGATAACAAGGATAAGTCTGTCAGTGGTGAACTCAGAAATAGAAGAGTGAGAATACTATGCAAATTCTATGCAAAAGGTAACTGTAGAAATTATAATTGTGCATTTTTACATGAAATATAAATGTGTTATTAAATACTTAAATGCAAAGGTGTATGAACCTATATATTTTTTTTTTGTTATCAAATAAAACTGAATTTATGTTAAGTAATGTATTCCTAATTATTCCAAACCTGTACTACTATTTTAATCCAGAAATAATATAATTATATTGTTTGTATAATTATACATTATATTATAATAACATATGTGTAATGTGTATATCTTAAATATAGATATTAGTGATCATATTTTGTACTACCAATGATTTATGTGAGTAGTAGGATAGTAGGGAGTGAGAGGCTTGGCTCCTATGAATGAACTAGTTTTTTCCTGCTACAGCGTATCCTCAAATGTTATCAAGATGACACTACCAATGACAAATAAAATAAATTATTACATTCATGAGATGTAATGTCACTGTTTTATTGATCCAATGAGTAATTCTTCTGTGTTTATAGTGGTAGGTTTTTAAAGAAGCAGATCAACATATAACATAATATACTGTAATAAGACTGTATGACAGACACATAGTAAGTTTGACAATAAATAGTTAGTTAACTTAACATATTATAATATCTACATAATATCAGAAATTCAAAAAGCTATAATTTCAAAATAATGTTAGTTGGCTTAATTGCGGAATCCATCAGCGTTTTAAAATCAGCAATATACATATGTTCAAAAAAAAAAAATAATAATAATAATTGAAAAATTAGATTTGTTCCACAATTTTTTACTCTAATGATTTTCATCAAAATTTGATATTAAAATTTCTTTATAAAAAAAAAAAATTACATTAAACTCAAATTTTTTTTAACCATTAAGACTTTTGATAAACCTCTCATTAAATGTTCACACATTTCTGTTTTGTCTAACAATTTCAGAACACAGTACCTACCTAATAAAAATTACATATAAAACTTCTATAGTTAAAATATCTATAAATAGCTCAAAAATGACTTAAATTGTTTGAAAACTTTATCATGTCAAAAAAAGGTAAATATATATTTTCTGTACAAATTTTATGTTTCTAAGAATATTTTTAACTGAATTACAAGTAATAAAATTGAACAAAATAATAAAAGCATTATCTTCATAAATTTCCATTTTTCTTACTTTTTCTCTTTTATTGGGAAAACTGTGGGGAAAATCAAATAATGATCTCCCAAATGTACCGCTTCAAGAAAATTTTCATTCAGAAAAGGATCTACATCATGTACATTGGAGCAAGATTTCAGGTAGAATTTGTGTTTAGTATATGTATAAAAAAAAATAAATATCTTTGTAAAACCAATACATTCTTCGCTACAATCAGAATCTTTTTTTTTTTATTTATATACGAACAATATACAATCTGTTCCTAGGAATAATAAGAATATGTGATAAATGAGTAAATAAAAAACATGATGAAATGAAGAGAGGAGTCACCCAGTGGTAACACTACCCTAACTTGATGGTTTTTTTTCTTTATTTATATTGCTTAATTTTATCAAACAGTGAGGAGGTCTCGACACCATTTCCTTTTGAGTCTTCTGGGAGGATTCCCAGGAATAGTGAGAGTGGCAAGGTTCGAAATGAGAGGGTTGGAATGAGAAGAGAGTTTAGAGTGGAATCATTTGTAAAAGGATACTGCTTCTTCATGGATTGATTTCATTTTTAGATCGGTGTGTAAAGTTAGATTTGAGATGTAAGTGGGAGAATTTTTAATTAAGCGAAGGAATTTATTTTGGAAAGTTTGAATTTTATTAGTGTTGGATATTTTGGCATTGCCCCAGAGTTGAAGACCATAGGTCCACATCGGCTTGAACAGGGATTTGTAAATTAAGAGTTTAGTATTTAATGGAGTGTGTTTGTTGTTAGAGATTAGGGTTTTAAGGATGCGGAGTCGTGCATTTAAGGCAAGCCTTTTAGTTTTTATGTGATGTGACCAAGTGAGACGACGATCAATTGTCAGACCTAAGTATTTGGCCGTTTGAGAGGAAGGGATTTGAATATTGTCTAGAGACACCATAGGACAGGGAGTAAGACGAAGAGTAAATGTTGTATGGAGTGATTTGGATTGATTAACTTTGATACGCCATTTTTTATACCAATCAGCCATGAGGTCANTTAGTAAGTAAAAGGAAGGATGAACTATGGGTTTAATTTTATATAGCAGACCTTCATGCCATACCCTATCGAAAGCTTGGGAAATGTCTAAGAAAACGCAGGAGCAATAAATTATTTTTTCAAGAGAAAAGGAAATAGCATCGACTAGTCTGTGCAGTTGATGTATTGAGGAATGAGCGGTACGAAAACCAAATTGTGTATTAGGTAATATGGAATTGGAAGAAATGCATGGAAGAGTTCTTTTAAGAATTAATCTTTCGAGAATTTTGCTGAAGAAGGGGAGGAGACTTATAGGTTGGTAGGAGGAGGATAAGTCGGGAGGCTTGTTAGGTTTTAGAACTAGAATCGTTACAGAAAATTTCCAAAGCATAGGAAAATAAGACAACCTTAGACACGCATTATATATAACTGTGAGAAGTACAATGGCTCTTTTGGGNATTGGAAGAGATGCATGGAAGAATTCTTTTAAGAATTAATCTTTCGAGAATTTTTCTGAAGAAGAGGAGGAGACTTATAGGTCGGTAGGAGGAGGACAAGTCGGGAGGCTTGTTAGGTTTTGGAACTAGAATCGTTACAGAAAATTTCCAAAGCATAGGAAAATAAGACAACCTTAGACACGCATTATATATAACTGTGAGAAGCACAATGGCTCTTTTGGTGAGGGACCTGGCCACTTCTGCAGTAATCAGGTCAAACCCAGGAGATTTTTTGAGACTGTATTTTTGAATTATAAATTTGACTTCACCAGGAGTGAAATGCTTAACTGCGGGAAAAGTAGAAAGGTGGGAAACGATTGAGCGATTTACTATGTCAGTATGAAAAGGTATTTGTATATCCGGGTGAGGCATGAAAGTTTCAGTTAGACGTTCTTTAAACAGCTCAGCTGTTTCAGCATCGGTAGTTGCAAGTCCACCATGAGGATTTATTTTGGGAACGAGCGGAGGTTTGTATTTTAGAAGAATTTTGGTAGTTAACAAGAGTTTGCCATTCTTAGGTGACAAGTTTGAGAGATGATTTTCAAAAGATTGATTTTTATGCTTAATGAGTATTTTTTTCAGTGAGTTAGATAGATTGTTATAAATACGTTTGTAGGATGGAAGGCGTGAGCGTTGGTATTGGGCCCTTGATCTACGCTTAATGGATATAAGGATGCAAATATATTCGGGGACTGACAAAATAACATTTGAATAACGAGTTTTGGTAGGACCGGAAGCCCAAGCTGCAGATTGGATTACATTTGTTAGGTTATTTATCGCTACATCAATTTCTTGGGGGGATTTGAGACTAATTTTGAGATTTATGTTTTGATCGACCAAGTCGTGGAATTTATGCCTATCAGTAGTATGGTGAAAGAGTTTTGGTAGGGTAGGCCGGACTAGAGGACAGGCACTGATAGTCAGGAGTACTGCTGAATGACCTGAACAGGGTTCTAAGAGATTAGTAGTCACGCAGAATAAGTTGTGAGGTGTGTTGGATACAAATATGTCCAGTATGTCTGGTTTTTTCCGCGGAGAGGTGGGCCAATATGTTGGTCCAGGAGGCGCGAGAATTGAGTAGCCCTTAAGATTAATAAAGTTGTAGAGAACAGAGCCTCTTGGGTTGTTAGAACGACAGCCCCAGATAGGGTGCTTGGCATTAAAGTCACCACCTATGATAAAGTTGTGACTAAAAGTGCTGAAGTAATCCATATAGTTTTGAAGATTTATATTATGCCTTAGAGGAGAATATATTGCTGCTAAGGTTGTTGGTATATTGTTGAGGTATAGTAAAATAGCACAAGACTGTAGATGCGGTTGACAGAAATTTGGAAAGAGTTGGAAAGACAAGGAAGATTTAATATAAATTGCAGCACCACCATGAGCGGTATTATCTGGATGATTAGTTTTTAGGAGATGATAACTAGGTATAGAAATGTGGGAGTATTTTGTANGGAAAAGTAGAAAGGGGGAAACGAGTGAGCGATTTACTATGTCAGTATGAGAAGGTATTTGTATATATATATATTTGTATTGTAGTTTTAAGTATAATTTAATTGATACATAAGACCAAGATATAGAATAAAATAACGGACACAGACAGATCGCAAGCAGTGTGCGCGACGGCGGCCGAACGCGAAGACAAATATAAATTTTAAAATAATGTATAAAGGAAAAATTTCTGAAATAAATAAAAAAGATTACCCTTAATTCAAATTTCGCTAAATATGTTTTAGAAAATAACCATGAAATAAATAAGTGTTGATATTAATATAGAGACAGTGTTGAGTGTATGACATTGTATGTATGTAGTTCTAAGTTATCTAAGAGATATTAAGTACCCAAAATAACATTACATTAATTCAGTTTTAAAGGAATTACATACATACAATATCATAAAAAAAAATAATTTTAATAATATTTAAATGTTCTAACCAATTTTAAAAATAATATCTTATATCAATACAATTTAGTTAATAAATAATAATCAAATAATTTATATTTCTTGACATACCCATATCTAATAATAACTTATTTTAAATAATCGATACTATTAAAGTAAATTACTTCTATGTAAAACGACCAATTCGTATAATTTTTTTCTATGTATTCCTTCCTTATTTTTTCATATTCAGTTGTGTTTTACGTTTTGACTTTGTGATTTTACCTGACGATGAATTTTTAATTCGAAACTGGTCGTACAACACACATTTCATAATACTCCAGGCAATGCATTTATTTATATATTTATCATTTGCAACTGGCTCGCAATATTTTTATTTACCTAAAAAAGTAACATTTACCTTAAAAAAAAAAAAGGTGGTTTAATTATTGCATGGTGTTTCGTCACATTCTCTAATTTAATTTATTTTAATTTGAAATAAAAATTGAGATTTATCGGAAACTCTTTGGTTATAAATTGTTCAATGTCGGTTACAATTAGTTACTAAAAGGTTATTAAATTTTTGAATTGGTCCAGAGTCGATAGAATAAAGGTGTGGAGCCAACTTCACAGACATCAATATTACGACGTATAGTAGAATAAAGGTACGAATACTGTCAGAATATATGGCAGATATTTGTACATTTTAGGGAATCCTATAACAACATCCATAGAAATAGCCTTTACAACATAATGGAAGAATTTGGCTTTCCAAAGAAACTTATAAATCTAACTAAATTTTGTATGGAGGTTGTAAAATACCGGGTGAGTGTGGATGGTATTGAATCTGAAGCTTTTAGTGTTGAAACGAGATTAAAACAGGGTGATGCACATAACACTGTCCCCATTATTGTTCAATTTGGCCCTAGAAATGGCGGTACGAGTATTGCAAGGTGAATCAAGAGGAATAAACTTAGTCTGACACCACGTAAAAATACTTGGGTTTGCAAATGACCTAAACATTCTAGGGGACTGAAAGACACAGTGAGAAGAATCAAAACATTAGAACGTACAGCAGGATGAATAGGGCTACAGATAAACGCAGACAAAACAAAAGTAATGGAAGTAATAAACATCAAAATGGAAACAGATCCTATGGAAACACTATATTACGAGAAAGACCAAGAGTTTCAGTACCTAAGTGTTTTATTAAATAAAAAAAAATTAAAGGTCCTGTGAAATATAGGCGAGTATAACAATAAAGGCGAAAAGAACGTTGTTAGCATTTCTAAAGTTTTTTAAGTAAAACTCTTCTCTCTAGATTATATATATCAATAATACGACCGACACTCATATATGGCTGTGAAGTATAGATGATAAGTATCATGCAAAGAAAACTGAAGACTTTTTAAAATAAAGTCTGGAGAAAAATAAAAGACCTAGTTATAGATACGAGGACAGGCCAGTGGCGTATAAAGCACAACCAAGAACTGCAAGAGGAATTAAAAATGGCAACAATAAATGGGGTCATACAAAGCCAAAGATTTTAATGGCTAGAATATGGAATGCTGCGTAGTGCAGGTGCAGCAATTAGTGTAGTACTCAATTGGAAGCCGAAAGAAAAAAGATCACGAGACCACCCTCAGAAAAGGTGGAAAAAGATTTGGAAGACCTGGGAGTGCGGAATTAGAAGGAGATAGTTTAGGGTAGTGACAGATGAGATGATTTAGTGATGGTGCACAGTGGTCTAAGAATGAAATTTAGGTGGCAAAATTAAGACATTAAAAATGTTCAAAAGATGTATTTTTTTTCTAGGGTCTCAATAATAGATAATTACTAGTGTAAGTATAAAATTTCAGCTTCATAACATTTTTTAAACTGGAGTTATAGCTAAGTGAATTAGACAAATTTGGTTTTTTCTGTTATTTTGAAAATAACTATTTTCATAATTAATTCATTAATTTGTTTGGCTACTTATAATTTATAAAATGAAATACTATATTGTTAAGTCGCATAATAAGATAACAAAATATATATATATATTTTTTAAATTTAAGTTCTTAACGGTTATGAGATAAAAAAAATAGAACGTTTTTATAATTTTTTTTTTCATAGACTGCAGTAAAAATTTACTCAAGTTTACCCTATATCTAATATATCAAAATAGATATTTTCTAGAGAAAGTTCTCGATTATAAGAATATATAATTTTTATTGCATTCCATTGCCACGCACAAAAATCATATTGTATAGAAAATTAATTATCTATATACAATTTAATAACACAATATGTAAAATTGTTATTTACAGGTGTTAGACGTGACGGATTATTTGAGGGAGTAATCAGTAAATAAAGTTAAATAAAAGTAAATGAATTAGTATTAAATAAATAAAGTTAAATTGAGAAATTTAGTATTTCATTTAAACAGATATAATGATGTACAGTACAAATCAGTACAGTTACGATTAGACATAATAGTATGCCTTGCAGTGTTACAAATACACTTATGTGCAATGCGCATTCATTTATACAAGAACCTATTAGTAGTAATACCTAATATTACGTTTTTGTACTGCAACAAATATAATATTACGTTTTTGTACTGCAACAAATATAATACCTATAACTATGTTTTATAAAATTTACTAATATTTTGTATTTTTAATTTTAATTTTCACTATTATATTTTACAATTCACCATGGATAGTCCAAAATAAATTAAGTTTTTTCTTTAATTTTCTTTATTTACAGATTACCCCCACAAATAATTCGTTACGTCTAACACTTGTAAATAACAATTTTACATATTTTGTTATTAAATTGTATACAGATAATTAATTTTCTATACAATATGATTTTTGTGTCAGATGCAATGGAATGCAATAAAAATTATGTATTCTTATAATCGATAACTTTCTCTACAAAATAAATATATTGGATATAAGGTAAACTTGAGTAAATTTTTACTGTAGTCTATCAAAAAAAAAAAAAAAATTATAAAAACGTTCAATTTTTTTTATGACTCATAACCGTTAAGGACTTAAATTAAAAAGAAAAAAATGTTCAAAATAATAAAAAAACTAAATTTGTCTAATTCATTTAGCTATAATTCTAGTTTAAAATATGTTATGAAACTGAAATTTTTTATTTATACTAGTAATCATCTACTACTGAGATCCTAAAAAAAAAAATTATTTTTTTTAAAATTTTTAATGTCTTAATTTTGCCACCTAAATTTCATTCTCAGAGAACTGTGTGGCGGAAAAAACTCTTAAAGAGTAACAGAAGCCGGAAGAAGAAGAAGAAGAAGGTATCCAATATACTTATTCACACATAGAAATTAAAAAATAAAACATTTTTAAAAATGTATAGGTAATTTATTATACCAAGAAGTAAACTCAATATAACTTTACTAAAAATAATAGTTATAATAGTTTGAATACTACATTAATTTAATACTGTTTTGTGATCAGGCTAACCTAAATTTCTATAATAATATTCAAGTTTTAAAACTAATTTTATCATCGAAATTAATAGCAGTAAGGGTAGTTGGGGCAGTTTTGTGGGGTGATGCCAGCCGGGTACCTTTTGAGCGGTCCATACTTGTGCGCTTCGGCCGGCACGTGGTGTGAGCAGTACGGATAGTTTGGGCAGCTAGACGAAGAGAGACCGGCCGGGTAACCGGGTTCGGTGTACGGTAAGTTGGCTAGTGGTTGGCGGTTATTGTAAGAGCTGGCGGACCCGGCTTGGTAGGGATGGTGCTGATATTGGCCATCGTTGCCGTTATACCGATGCTGGTCACGGTCATCACTATATTCGGTTCCCGCGTCGGTTTGGACGTACGCGGCCAGCAGCGCGTTGTCGCAATGCGGGTAGTTAGGACACAAAGCTGGGTTCAGGCCCGACGGGTATCGAGCACCGCCCAACGCTGTGGCTTGGACTGCGAAAATAATGGCCTACAAAGTATACAATACACGCATTAAAATAATACCTTTTGAATTGTGAAGATGTGAAAGCTATTATTAATAAGTGGGATGCAGGCACGTTTTCAGATTGGTTTTCTCTACGATAGTGGAATACGATTTTGTAATATGAAAATTATTTTTAACATTTTAACATCCACTTTAAAGATGAAGCATTTTCTACGAACCACTAGTTAAAACTTATAATGGATCCCGTTTTAAATTTGCTAACATCTTTGTTTTACTTAACAATTTTATGCACATAAATGTTAAAAAGACTGACATACCTACTTCGCATGTGTGTGCAGCCACTGTTCTAGATGGAAGTTGGAATGGTAGTACACAGAAGAAAATTAAATGTATATCTGTAGCAACGATAAATCATTGCTAACGAAAAAACTATTCTGAGCGGAGTTTAGCTGATAGTGATACTTTGTCAACTATTGTTGAAAAAACATAGGTATATATGTATATCTATGTCATATTATGGGAATATAATTAAATAAACATTATATATTTTCTTTAATATTCGTTTAATATTTTACAGATTTTCCCGTTTTTTTTTCCTGGTTTTTCACATTTTTTAAGAAAACTCCTAAGAAAATCAAAAAATAATCCAACTAAAATATCTTCCCAGTCAAATTCCCTTTCAGAAAAAGTGCTATCATTCCAAATCGGAGCAATATTGCTGATAAAAAAGTTGTTCATAGGAAAAAAGAAAGTCGTAATATATGTTAACTAATACCTTTATTTCGTACATTTTCCAGTTTTTTTTTTCGATTTTTCACATTTGTTGAGAAAATTTCTGTGATAAAAGTGATCTCCTTAAAGTACTACACCAAGAAAATTTCCTTTAGAAAAGGGTCTACGTCGTATACATCGAAGTAAGCTTTCTAGTAGGAAGTGTTCACATGAAAAAAGAATAATAATAAACATCTTTGTAAAACCATAAGCTTCTTCGCTCCACTCAGAATCTAAAACATAGCACGATGTAGGTACACGATTGTCCCTATTACCTACATCGTGGTTATGAGTTATATACCTATGGTAAATGTTCAGTCATTAAAGTACCTATATTATGTTAGGTATCCCAATGAACGATACATTTATTTTCTAGTAGACGTTAGATATTTGATTTGTATACATATGCCTTTGAAAATAATCTGGCTTTTAGAGCACGCAGTGAGTATAATTCCTGTTACCTTGTTACCTATAACGTGTAGATAGGTGGGTAGATTATAAAAAGATCGAAAATCAAGATCAATACACATAGAATTATAATAATGGAATTATATAATATTCATATAATTATATACTCACGATTATTCCTCTGATCATGGTGAATTCTTGATATGGTAGTTAGGTAATAAAAAGACAAAATAAAAATATCTACAGTTCAAATTTATTAAGTAAAATATTGTATAGGTATTAATTGATACTTATATGAAACGAAAAGTCATTAAAAGCAAACAAATAAAAGTTTATCAAGTTGAATAGTTTTGTTATGTGTAGGTAGGTTTTATTTTTCGAGTTGAACTGCCGAAGAGACGAGACGGTGAAGTGTGCGTTAGCCGTCGCAGCGGCCGTTATTTATACGACGTACAACAAACGCATATACTCGTCAGAAAACCGCAAATGCATTATAAAAGGTATAGTCTATAGGTACCTAGGTGAGTAAAATAAATAATATATGGGCGATAAACGTGCAGTGTAGACATCAAGTTGCAAGACACCTAGGCCGTAGCACGATCAGCAACGACCGGAACACCGCAATAAAATCGGTTTTCGACATGATCGATGCAATAGCCAATTTTTTTTAAATAGGTACTTATTATTATTACAGCTCGTATTTGCTACATAATATCGGACCGATTTCTTTATTGAACCATAAATTATTTACCTACCTATTATTATTAGACGATATAAATAACCGACACTCGACGTGCGAACCGCCTTTGCGGCGACACAACTGTCAACAGTTTTATTACATAGGTTTAAATTTTGCTTGACCACAGATTTCGTTATTTTTAAATATTGTTTTAGACTCTGAGCGTAGTGAAGGATCTATTGGTTTTTTAACTTCATGTATTTTATAGTCGGAGAGTAACAAGGGATCTATTGGTTTTACTACGTATGTTATTATATTCGGGGAATAACGAGGGATCAGTTGGATTTACTATGATGTGAGCCTTTTAATTATTTTTTTGTATTTGTGAACAACTTTTCAAACATAAAACTTACTCTGATATATAAAGTGTAGCATTTTTTCTAAAAAGATATTTCATTTAGTTGGTGCATTGAGAAAGTAATTTTTTGTTCATTATTAAAGTTATATTCTTGGTTGTAAAAAAAAAGGTACCTAAGTGAAATGTAGAATTTTTTTATTTTTATAAATATTTTAATAACAAATTTTGATGGAAATCATAAATATTACGACTTCTCAAATCAAGTATAAATGAAATTCACTCATAATCGTTTATCTTTGTTAGCAATGTTTTATCGTGGCTTACAGATAAATTAAATAACTTCCCACCGTTACTTTTTAACTACCTACCAATCTATACCAGATGATTCATTTAAATGGGTACACTCATTATCTCGAAAAATATTAAGTATTACGGTGCACGGCGTTTTAATAATGCACCACTACTCTCTTCCAACTTAAAATTAAAAGTGGTATATCTCTTCAAAGGCTTAACAAAAATAAAAGATTTCAACACTAAAATTTATTTTAACTAATATCCATTTTATTTATGGACTTTTTAACATAGGTTGCAATTTGAAAATCAAAAGTAGGTTTTTCCAAAAATAAAGATGACAAAAAATAACACAAATATAAAATTGTTGAACAGCTTGTTTCTTAAATTTTGTAGAAAAAAAATTCTGGAAAAAAATAATACTTTCTGACGTAAAGAGTGTACCCACTTGAATGAATCACCTGGTATAACAGTAGCGCACGCATCAGCAAAACCAGCTTTTTTTCTTTTTTTAGGTTTGGACAAACACAGAAATCTATTGGTTTTACTATGTGTCATTTTTATATTATTTTTTTTTTAGTTTTTTGTCTATGAGCAACTTTTTTACCAGAAATCCTGTTCCAATGAAACAATAATTAGAGGTATTTTTGTTGCATTTTGAATGTTTTTGGTGCATACAGCAGGTAAGTCATTTATTGATTTTCTTAGGAGTTTTCAAAATAATTGGGAAAAAAAAACTTAGAAAAAAAAAATTAAATATTCACAGCACGCTGCATAGTGAGGTGGAACCAATATTTAGCTGACCAAAAGTCCCATATTTAAAACGCAAAAAATTCTACATTTATTTGATGATTATTTTTTATAAGAATATTTTGTAGATAAATATAAAATTTGAGATCAAATTAGTTGATTATCTACTGAAATAGAGGCTTGATGAGAAATTTTAACTATATTTATATTCATTTTTAGTAATAATGCAACATTAACACAAAAAACCTAAGTTTTCCATTATTTGTTTACTTTTTAAAGGGTATTAGTAAAAATTGCACAATTTCACTCAACTTTAAATACATACATGTTATACTTCAAGTTGTCAAAAAAAATTTCGTTAAATCACTCTAATCATGTTATACGTATTATTTTACACGTATTTGTTATACAATTTAACTTAATTTTTTGGAACTTTTCAAACATTTATTCTATTTTATTTTCTCATAATTTTCTCACACAAAAATAAAAACGAACTTATTTTTTTGCCAATGAATTCTAGTCAATTCACAATTAAAATGGACAAAAGAAATGATATAAAATGAAAACTGACAAATTTACGGTGCACAATTCGTTATTTTACAAAAAATAGAACGAGAAAGTTTACGAAAATAATGGTTTTATTATTTTCAACTTTGAATTTTAATAGAATTCAGTTTAAAATATTGGCCTTTTCTAGACATGGCCAAATTTTCAAAATGGTCTAAAATTATTTTTGAGCTACCTACCTATTTATTAGAATTTTACATTTTCTAATTTTTCTTTAGTAGGTAGGTATTATGTGGATATAATTATTTGACCAAATAGAAATGTTTTAAAATTGAGCATAATTAAGGTTCATTATAAGTTTACTTGGTGGTAAAAATTAGAGATTAAATTTTAAAAAATTAAAGTGTAATGTATAGATAGGTAGGTAGATAGTAGTTTTCTTTAAATTGTTTTAAGATAAAATTTTAGTGAAAATCGTTAATATTTTGACATTTCATAACATGTATAACTGAACTTCAATCATAATTGTATTTTGTTAGCAATGGTTAATTTTTGGTTACAAATATAAATTAAATAACTTTATATATCCTACTTTCCCAACTTATTATTTACAACAGTAGCTCACCTATTGGCAGTATCTATACTTTATTTTCGGTGACCTATATTTCGTTGAAAAATTATTTGAGCAGAAAAATATTTTACTAAAAAATTACTTTAGTCGAAAAATAATTTGTACGTTAATATAATAGATGAAAATAAAATGCTAGAAAAATATTTTACTGGAAAAGTTTTTTGTCCGAAAATATTGTACACAAAAATAAATTTGTCGAAAAATAATTTATTAGAACCGTATTTAGTTAGAAAATTAGTTATATTAAATATAAATAGAGCGCACTGTTGAAAAGGCAAGCCACAGCATGACTATAGACATATTTATATCTATGGCCATAGTAAAGTTATAGGTAAATATCGTAGCTAATGAGGGCCATGGACATCTTGATATATCGTAATATATATAATACAACCGTACTTAGTAGTAGAGAAACCATGTTCATCGGTTAACAGATGATATGAAATAACAGTGTTATCACCTTTATAGGTATTTTCTACCAAAATACAGTTCTAACAAAATATTTTTCTATCAAAATATTTTCGTACCGATTATTATTCTAATATAATATTTTCGATCAAAATATTTATCTGTACAAATACTGTTCGGATAAAATATTTTTTTTCTACAATGTGGTTCGACGTAAATATTTTTCAACAGTTTTATTTTTCTGATAAAATATCATTGACAAAATATTTTCATAATTTATACACATCCCTCTTTTATTTTTCCATACCGAAAACGTCAAGACTCAAACCGTAATATTATTGTCCTTTACGTTTTGAAATCATAGTTACAAAATTATCATGATAATCTCCATATAATTTGGTGTTATTTTCAATATTTTCATCATGGTTTTATTTTACACTACTAAAAAATAAAATACTAATAGCATAGATAATATAATAAATATAGTATACCTATATTAGGCTGTTTTGATTTTTAACTTTTTTTTTTAAATTAATTCTGGAAATTGCTTCATTGTGGTTTAAAACTAGCTCAAAAACAATTTAATCTCAAAAAAAAAAAAAAATGTTTAGAATTGATTCATCGTATATTTAGTTTTTCCATTTGCGTTGAGCAATTTCTGAAAATTTCTTTTTGGGTTAATAAAATATTATTGTTATAGATAATAATTGATGAGTAATAGTTTTCATATTTGTCTTTTCAACTGATAAGATTTGATAACAAGTCCAATCGCAGATGTCTGAATAGGCGACCGGAGATGGCGGCGAGTAGAAGGAGTTTCTCAGTTCTTGGACACAAATACTGTATTAAGGTATTAGTCATTACTCATTATTAATTGTGTTTGTCGTTGTTGTTCGTAGCTCGTTCTTATTGATATAGTTGTTTTTTACTGTTTTTCCGAGAAAAGTAAATATATATAAAATTGTTTATAGATTTATAGATTAGTTCAATAATATAGCAGAGAATATAACTCATTAAACATTAATTATGTGGAAGTCGTCTGCTGGTGTTAACATTGAAATACCTGTTGAGAATATGGATGATGATTGGGAGACCGATCCTGATTTCGTGAATGATGTTAGCGAGGAAGAACAGAGATGGGGTTCTCGGACAGTACCTGGTTCTGGTCGAGTATTGGACCATGTTGAGTTAGTACTTCTGTTTTTGATTACCTACTTATAAATATAATTAATTTTTTTTTTTATTAAGTATGAGTCAATTGCGGGATGAAGTAACTAAAGCTCATAAGGATCAAAAAAAAAGAGAGATGGAAGAAGGACCTCAAGCAGCATTTGGATATGGTGGAAAATTTGGTGTACAATCAGACAGGTAGTTGTCATATAAATAAATTATATATTATTTAGTAGGTACCTAGGTGTAATTTATTGTATACCTATATAATATTTATTCATTAGTAGGTTAGGAGGAATCTAATTTATATGCAATATGTTTGTTTTTTCTTTACAAAATATAAAACTGCTATACATTTTAGTTTAAACAGTTTAAATTTTAAGAATTTTTATCAAAATTGTATACCTATTTATCAAAAAATGTAGGGTTTTGTTTTAAATTGTTTTTATTTTTTCAGAATGGATAAATCAGCTGTTGGACACGATTATATTGCACCTAAATTCAAGCATGCCTCACAGACTGATTACAGTACTGGTTTTGGTGGTAAATTTGGGGTTCAATCAGATCGAATTGATAAGGTACCTATAGAAAATGTTTCAAATGCTATATTAATTTCTTGTTTTGTTTACAAGCTCTTATTATTTATTAATTTGATCAAAGTTCTTTAATAATGTATATTCTGAATATCTATTAATCTAATGTTACCTAACTTTATTTTAAAGTATTATTACTTATTATTTTACATAATTTTTTTTATGTTTAGTTAATATTTTACTATTATTAAATAAAATCTGTTTTTATAAATATATGTATTCTATATTTTAGAGTGCTGTAAGTTGGAATCATAAAGAAAAAATTGAAAAACATGCATCTCAAAAAGATTATAGTTCCGGATTTGGTGGAAAGTTCGGCGTGCAAGCTGATCGGCAGGATAAAAGTGCTGTTGGTTGGGATTATGTTGAAAAATTACAAAAACACGAGTCTCAAAAAGGTTAGGTTATTAAAATATTTGTAATAACTTATTCATTATACTTATCTATTTATTTATTTATTTTTGAGCAATAGATTATGCTGTTGGTTTTGGCGGTAAGTTTGGTGTACAGTCAGACCGTCAAGATAAATCTGCAGTTGGATGGGATAGTGTAGAAACTGTTGAAAAACATCAAAGTCAAGTTGATCATAGTAAGGTATGTTCTACTTCTTTCTTAAAGACAAGGTTAAATAGTCAATTCAAGCTGGGGAGGAGCATATAATACTTAAATGTATAAATGAAGTATTATACCTCTAAAATTATACGTTAATAGGTTTTATATATATATAAAACCTATTCATAATATAGACATATTGTTTGTTATAATTTAATTAACAAGGAGGTGATAAGATCAATTATAACATTTTCTGGTGTAAGAAGTAGACTGGAGGAAAAATGATCCAAAAAACTTAAATTATAAAATTAAAATTATTAAAAAAAATGTAAACTAAATAGAATAATACCAAATACTTAATAATTACTAATCATAATTAAATATTAAAGTATATTTTATAAATTTATAATTCATAATAATTAATAGTATACAAGTTTGATCAGTATTAATTTTAATAAAAATATTAAAATTTAAAATAATTAAATAATTAACACAACGTTATTTACTACAGAATACTAAAGGAATATTATGAAATATTTAGGTAGTGTATGTATATTTAGGTGTGTACTATTCGTTATTAAATCTTGTTTATGCCAATCAATGATGATAAAAGTTAAAATTTGGTTTTATAAGTATATGCAATTATAATAGTATCAATCTTATACAGTACACTAAATAAAAAAACTTTTACATATGATTTTTCCCTACCTTGTATTACATATTATTATAAATTATAATATATTATTTTTATTGAAATCATGCTATTTTTATTATTTATTAGGGTTTTGGAGGAAAGTATGGTTTACAAAATGATAGAATAGATAAATCCGCTCATAATTATGCAGAAAGTTCTGGACAGGTTGGGACAAATTACCAAAAAGAGAAACCAGAAATAAGTAAGTAATAGTTTCTTATCACTAGTATAACACATTAAAGTAAAATTAATGAATAAAAAAAAAAAAATGAAATTATTAGTACACAAGTATAATCAATTATTTTTAGCAAGTATTAAACCATCAAATCTCCGAGCAAAATTTGAAAATATTGCCAAGCAAGAAGAAGAAGAAAATGAAAAACGGCGTTTGGCAGAACAAGAAAGGAGAAAACAGAGAGAATTACAAGAAAAAAAAGAAGCTCGTGAAAGAGAAGAAAAACGATTAAAAGAATTGCAACAAAAAGAAGAACAGAAACAAAAGCTTTTAGATGGTCCTGACCAACTTAACAAAATTGCTCCAATTACGGTAAATTAATTTTGAGTAGTTTGTATAATACATTGAAAAAAAAGAGATGTTTCTTTTTTTTTTTTTTTTTTAAATTGATTAATAATTGTTTTAACCCCTAGAATACTGAAATACTTGGATAGTTTAACATAGTTTTATGATTATACAAATTTAAATCAAACTTATGTATTTTAGAAAATTGATTATGACGAAGAGGAGTCACCAATATCTACAGAGTCTGTTCTACCACCAATTGTTGTGGGAGCAACTATTCAACCATCTATGAAAAATCATGAAGAAGCTTTAAAAAGAATAGCAACTGAGGAAAAAGAGCATACACAAAAAAGTGAACAAACTAGAATTGAAAGGGAAAATATTTTGCAAAAAAAAATAGAAGAGAAAAAAATAAACGAAGAAATAAAAAGAGAAAATGAACTGATGAAAAAAAAAGAACAGCAAAAATTAAAAGAAGAATTTATTACACAAGAAAATGAAAAGAAAAAGTTAAAAGATTTAGCTGAAGAAGAACAACGCATAAAAAAAACAGAGGAAGAAAAAAATACAGAAGAATTAAGGAGAAAGTTAGAAGAAGAAACTAGAATAAAATTAGAAGAAGAAACCAGGAAAAAATTGGAAGAAGAAACTAGAAAAAAAATAGAAGAGGAAGCCAGAAAACAATTAGAAATAGAAACAAAAAAACAATTAGAAGCAGAAACTAAAAAAAAATTGGAAGAAGAGGTAAGGAAAAAAGAAGAAGAACGGCAGTTAGAAGAACAAAAACTTCATGAACAGCTGAAAAATGGAGCAGTATGTGAAGAAGAACCAGAAGGTGGATATACTGCTGTAGCTTTATATGATTATGAAGCATGTAAGTGTAGATTATGGTTTTTAATAATAATCAATATATTATATACCACTTCAACGATGGACCACCCATCTTGTAAATTATGTTCATTTTTTTATACTAATATTTTATTATATAGCTGACAATTTTACTTTTTTTCTTATTGCTTGAAAGTATTCATATTCAAATATGTCTTTGTTTTATAGTTTATCTTTATTCCCATTTTGCTTTACCTGTAGCAGTATATTGAACGAAAGAAATAGATGGAAAGTCAGTCACTGGCGACCTAATGATTTTCATTAGTGTTATAGATAACCATACAGCACAGGGATTAAACTATACATCCACTATACATAATAGTACTATAAAAGTTTAGTGTTTTTATACTGTACCAAAAAATACAAAGATTCAAAGATAAAAAAGGTGTTTTCACTTTTCACTTATCCAATCAGTACAGTACATAGTTTTGTATTTTTTTTTCATCCATATTATCAAATTGACCCATCCTATTTCAAGTAAATAATAGACTGGTAGACAATCAGATACTCTTTATTTTAAGTTGCTATAGTTGTTATGGTATTTTTATTTTTATTTATTTTTTGTTTAAATTGTTTTTTATTCACTCAGTGTAACTAAAGTAACCCATAGTTAACAAAAATAATTTAATTTTCATACCGAAAATACCTAAGAACTTTTTATCCCCTTCTTGGTCGTTAATCTAAATGAAGACTACCCTATATTTTAAGTTGAACCAAATCGCACACATTAAGCAAAATCAGTTGAGTAGTTTCAGAGTGCACTGTATGTAAACTCTAGCGATTTTCATAATATTAAAGATAATGTTTATAGGATTTAATACTAAATTATTCTTTTATTTTTTTGTAAATTATAGGGTCTCGGTTAAAAATTTGTTTTTCTGTCTGTCTTATAAGTAATTTATTATAGCAACAAAGGCATTTTTTATTTTCATGTTTGCAACTCTGGTTTAGCAAAGGCAATTATCAAATAAGACTATGTACATTTTATAAAGAAAAGTATTTATGAAATTATCAATAGAAAATGCCATAGTTAAGAAACTATAATATCTGACACATTTGGTTTTGGGTGAAATTCTTTGACTATAAAATGTTTAATAATTAATATAAGGAAAACAAATTATGTGTTATTCATGGGAATTCAAATAATTATTTAACTATCTATTTATATTATTTACAATATGTAATTATTATTGAAGAAATTATTTTATTTTAGCGGCTGATGATGAAATAAGCTTTGATCCTGATGATATTGTAACAAATATCGAAATGGTAAGTATTACAAAAATAAATCTACAACAATTTTAATTTTGTTATTAAGAGGACATTATAGTTGCATCTACTGTCTCAGTCCAACTACCGGGTAACATACTTAAAAAATGCTTTTGCGGCATAAGTAAAACTCGCTTAATTTTAATTTTAGAGTAAAAGTACTTATTATGAAACATAGAGAACAATATTTTAAAGGGAATGCCATACATTTTTTTTTTTTTTTAATTATGAACTATTAAAAATGTTGCAGTTGTTTAAAAAACTAAAAAATAAAATGTTTTGTATCTTTTATATCAAGCTTTATATTTTGAATAATACAAAAATCCTATGACATACCTTCCAAAATATTGTTCTCTATAAATTCCATAGTAAGAACTTTTATTCTAAAATCAAAATTAAGCTAGTCTTACTTATTCTGTTTAAGCATTGTTTACGCATGTTACCCGGTAATTGGACTGAGATAGTAGATGTGGGTATAACATCATCTTAAGTTATGTTATTTTTTATTTCATTCATCTACTTTATAAAAAGTGTAATTTAGTGAAGAGGAACTTATATAGTTGCAGTTTTATTATTTTTATTTATTTAAAATATTTCTATGTATAATTTGATTTTTTACATTGGTATTTTAATTTTAACTATTGTTTATTGATTGGAAAACAAAAAAAATAAAGTATATTGATTCTAATTAAGAGTTAAGTGGTTGAAATACTAGAAATAATTTATTATTAATATTTTAGAAATGTAGTAAATATTCATTGTTTTATAAATTTTATAATTATAGATTTTACTTTTTCAGATTGATAAAGGCTGGTGGAGAGGATTATGTAAAGGTCAATATGGTCTATTTCCAGCCAATTATGTTGAAATTATTCCTTAAGACATATTTTGTTACCATTAATCATATTTCAGTAGTTGAGCAAGTTAATATACAGTCTTCTTTCTTTTTAAATAAAATATATTTCTAATGGTCAAATTATAATTTATAACAGTTCTATAACAACTTCAATAATTAGTGTTTGATACTATAAAGTATAAGATAATTCATATCTAATTTTTAAAATATATATTATTTATTTATTGTGTATATTAAATTTATTAATTTATTAATTATTCATGATTTTATAGTCATTTTTAATACTCAAATTATATTTTCACAATTTTTAATTGACATGTAAAAAATAGATGATCGTAATTTGATGATTTAGCAAGGTATGAAGTCGATTATTTAAAATAGTCTATAATTGTAAATAAATAGTATGTCAATTTTTGTTACTAATCATGTTATCTGCTCAACATACTAGAATTATTTTTTATTTAAATAATCAATTATTTATCTAGCAAATTATATTAACATTATTTTTATTTTATTATATTTTAAAAAGTGTTAGTTGATTATTATTTGTTGGTACTTGTATTGTGATATTTTTCACGAATAATCAAAATCACACAATTTTGAATTATTAATTGTTAACTAAATAATATTATTAATTTATAATTTTATTACATAAAATTAACTTAAAACAAGACATATGCATAAGGTCATATGTAAAGTAGCAGAACAGGTTCATTTTAATACACTTTAATATACTTTAACCTTATATGTGACATAATAATTTATATCATTTTATATCAGATTATTTTTATGCATAATAAATTGTATAAACATTTAAAAATTATTTAATTCTGTCACGTACAAATTATCCGACAATAATTGATGTTCTGCAGATACTGTAAAATATATATATATAATATTTATTATACATATATTTGTGTCTGTGTGTATGTATGTATGTATGTATATTTAAGAATACATTAGTAAAACCAGTTTGACACCCCGAAACATAATTTAGTGTTTAATCTTCAAGGCAATAGCATAACATATACATACACACACACACACACACACACACACAAATGGATAAAAAATAGTGAGAAGGAATTTACTTCACATTGCAGTCTTATAGTTGAATAGCTCACACAATCAACTCCAAATAACTCAGTCAGTTTCACTTATTACAATGAAATTCGTGAGTAACTTTTTTTATATTTTCAGGTTAATTATAATTAATTAATTCATTTTAATGGATTCAAATTTAAATTGATTTTACAATTATTATATTTCTTAGGTATTATTATTTGTAATTGGTTGTTTAGTATTAAATTTAATTGAATGCAACCCAGTTGAATTAGTATCTCTAACAAATAAAAGAGATGACTCTGGTCAATTTTTATCACGGTAAGAAATTAGTTAATATTAGTTTGTAATAATTAAGTTATGTTATATTTAATTACACCTTTAATAGCTATAAACTAGATGATGGCACTGGAGAGGAAAAAATGGGTAAACTATTACCAAATGACAAAGGACAGGATGCAATTCTTGTTCAACGAGGTTCATATACTACAAATGTTGATGGACGACTTATAACATACAATTGGATAGCTGATACAAGAGGTTTTAGAATATCAAAGGCTTGAATTCCAATAAATATATATTTGAAATGGTTTAATTACAGTATAAACTATAATAATTTATTTTGAATTAAAAATTGTAATGGTTTTTTCACATCGTTTACATAACTCTTCTTGTTTTTCTGCTGACCATCTGCGGCATCGTTTACATAAAATTCCTTTTGAGTCTATTGTTTTCACATCAATTATATTACTAAGAGTTAATTCAATTGAATTAACTTGAAGTAATTCAATTAAATCTGATTTTCTATCACTGTTTTTAGGATGTAAATGCTGGAACAAAATTAAAGTTATTTGTTATGTGAAACCTAAGTTATACATTTTACTTTGTAATATTCTTTTCAAAAATGTTTTGTAAAATAAATAAAATATTTGTTAGCATTTTATATTTGCATGTAATTTTATAATTATATTAACTATAATTTATATACCTTTTTAAATTTATTTAAATATTATGGCTTTAATAAATTAAGTTGTAATACTTTCAAGGTAATATTAAAATAATACATTGAAAAATCCCCGAAAAATGTTAACTTAATTGGCCTTCATTTTATTGTTTCCCATCTTCTAAGAAGAATTTATGTTTAATGTCATATTATGAATACCTACTTGTTGACCATGAACCTAACAGGAGAAACTTTCTTATTTTCCCAGTACACAACTGATAATAGTTATTATATTTATGATAATAGATGCATTCAAAGAAATTTTTTTGAACTAAAATGTTCTTAATTTAAATTACTTTATACTTAATTATATTATTTTTTTACCTGAAGTAGATTATGTGTTTCATCGGGTGCAGCAATAATTAAAGATTGTTTAAGAGAATTTGTCCCATGTAATATATTAGACACTTTGCTTTTCACCTCTAAACCTTTTTCTATAACAGATATTACTTTTTCAGAATCTGGAATAACTATTTCATTAAGATTCATTATAGGTGTCTTAAAAAAAGTGGTCTTTCCTAAAATAAACAATAAACAAAAAATTACACTTTTAATTTAAAAAAAAAATTAAACACTTAAATATTACTGAGTGGATAAAATGAAAATGCTTCTTCGGCTAAATGCGGTAAAATTGGGGCTATGTGTTTAAGAAGATTTTCAAATATGACTTGTAATGTTGCTGTACATGCTAATCTGTTATTCGATTCGATAGGATCACAATAGAGTCTGAAATATTATAATGTTAGTATAATGTATATAGTGGAATTTACGTGAAACATGTATTATATTATACCTATCTTTGATGTGGTGTACGTATAATCCAGAAATTGTATTTGTAATGAAATGCAATAGTTTAATACATACTTTATTATACTGGAATGTATTATAAAGCATATTCATTTCGTTTTCAAATAATTTCAGTTCCAATATAATATATTTATCTAAATATCTTAGATGATTTATGCCATGTATAAAGTGATGTTCTTTTATATTATTAAATGAACCGAGTAAAAAACGAAGAATAAGACGAATTTTATCAATTGATTGTTTGGTATTATTCATGGTTTCTTTTGTTACAGGAATATTTGTTTGGTGTGATCCATGTTTAGCAACCCACCATCTAATTATTGCACGAGAAAGAACAATACAAAATTCAAAACAAATAGTTTAATTTTAAATTTTATCAATCCAACCTTAGTATATCAACTCCAGTAATTGACTGATCATACTTTCCGTTTATTATATCTTGAGGATCGATTACATTTCCAATAGATTTGGACATTTTTCTACCATTCTCATCCACAACAAAACCATGAACAAATAAAGATCTAGGTGAAAAATTTTTTTATAAAAAAATTCAGAGTATAAGTAATAATGGTTTGTTACCTAAATGGTGAAGCATTTCTCAGGGCAATTGACGACATGAGAGATGCTTGAAACCAACCGGTGCATTGATCGACACCTTCTAAATATAAATCAGCAATCGTGTTATTGCCTAATACACAGCTCCAAGATATGCCACTATCAAACCAAATATCTAAAATATCCTATTATGAAACATTTATAATATTATTACATATATGTAAAAAGAGACTGGTGTACTAGTGTAGTATATGAAAGGTTAGAGGGAGGTTTGATACAAAAATGTATTTAATTTATATCTGTTAACAACAGTAAACCTAATAAAAAAGGATTCTGAATGATGTTTGGTTATAAATATTTTAAAAAAAATGCATTCATACATTTTTGAAAAGAAAACTTTCTCAAATATATGAATTATTGCACCTTTTCTGAAAGGATATTTTATCTAGTTGGTACAATAGATCGTTTTTTGAAAGGTTTTGAAAATAATTGGAAAACCCCGGAAATAAAGCAGTAAATATTTAAGTTTTCTTGTATAGATATTGCTTTAATTAAAAAATACCTAGAGACCTTTTTTTTTTTTTAATTTGTCTATGTTTATGTAATAAACTATTAAATAGATTAATAAATTAATAAATTATTTAATCTAGTTTATAAAGAAGACAGTTGTTTTTTTGATTTTCCAAGTGGTTTGCATTAAAATTAGAAAAACCCAGAATAACATAGAAAGCACTGGAAAATGTACAGAAATCAATCTTTTATTCACTTTTTTGTTGTAGGTAATTTAGTTATAATCGTTTATAATCATTTTAACAAAAATTTTAGATTTGTCTTTTTTTAGACGTGTTAAAAGTTTTTTTAAAATTATTAATAATTGGTACCCAGTTACTTTGTGTACATAATTATTCAACCAAATTTAAAATCTTGAAAATGTAACAGTTAGTTAATAAAAAGCTAAATTTAATATATTTTTTTTTTATTTGAGTGAATATAAAAATCGTAAATATTACGGGCTTTCAAACACGTAAAACCAAAACATGCATCCAATCGTTTTTTCGTTAGGAATAGATTATTGCTTAAAGATAAAAATTAAATAACATTATGTATCCTACCTTCTTAACATCCCACCTACATCGGTGGCACACCCATTTCCAATATCGGCTCTTTTTTTTTTTGTTTACTAAATTAAACTTTTAAGGAACTTAGAATTAGAATTTTCCATCATTTCTGTTCAATCAAAAAATGTTTATCCACAATTAAACTAAATAAAACTAAAAAAAACTAAAAAGGTTAAATACTAAAAAATGTTCAGCATGTTTTGAAAATTTACCATGTCTAACAAATTCTCATAAAATTATTTTGTACAAATTTCAGATTTCTACAATCATTTTTAACATAATTACAATAAACTAGGAAATAGTAATACTATAAATACTATGAACTTTCTCGTATTTCTTCCGAATTTTCAATAAAACTATATGGAAAATCAAAAAACAACATTCTTTTGCACTGAAAAGACAAATTTTCTTGAAATTTAGTGCAAAATTGTTGATAGAAAAAAATAGAAAATATTGAAACTTTGAATACTGTGAATTGGTCTTTTTATTCCTAAATTTTCTCAAGTATAGTGAAATTTACAAAAAAATCGAAGCAGGTTTCTTATCATATTTTATTGTAGCCAGATTACTGGTAGTTAAGTTTTTCACTGACAAAAAAATAATACTTAATTAATAAGCACACATTAAAGTAAAACCAAATATTTCTTGTTCCATTCAGAATTTAAAACATTAATAGTTTTTTATTAAATAAAAGTAACATACAAGGCCTTTTTTTAATTTTTCTGAATTGTGTGATGTGTTTGATGCCAATTTTTGCACATCGTATATCCACCAAAAATCTTGTCCTGTTTCTTCTAATAGGGTATAATAATTGTTTAATAATTTTCTAAAAAAATAAAACGCAACAAAAAAACGTAAACTTTTTAATTGTTCAACTCAAAATACTTACTCGTCAATAATAGCATTATCTGATTCATCATATAAAACAGGTATTGGTACACCCCATGAACGTTGTCTAGAAATACACCAATATGGTCGTTTTTCAATCAAGGTTAAAAGAGCATTACGACTGCCACTAAGTTCAGGATAAATACGAATGTCTTTTAAACATTCCTTTCATCATGAATACATATAAAATATATTTTTGAAATGTAGTAAAAACAGAATTATATAAATAATAATAATAGTAATAGTATATTTGTCATGCATCGTAAAATAAATTTGTACTAATTTAATAAGATATTATTTTTTATTTCATTATTATTGTTTATAAATTATTTCATGTTATTAATACATATAAAACACTTAATAATTAAAAATAAATAAAACCAAATTAAATTATTTGCATTATTATGTTTATAAGGATGTCTATTATTTATCTAATGAGCAATATAGAAAAAAATATGTTTGTTATTTTGTTCCAATAGTTCTCAGACTGATTTTTATGGTTTTTTTAAAAATATTTTTAAAAAGACAAATTTCAACATGCAAATAAAATCAGTTTAAAAAAAATTGTAATATTCATTTTCACAACCAATTCAAGTTTACACAACCAACAGATACTATTTGAAATACAAAACATACTTTTACCATATTGCCCATTAGATAGACAGAGACAATAAATGCACTTTCAACAATGTATTAATGTCAAAATATGGATTAAATAAAATCAAATTTATACCACTTATATAATGAATCCATAATAAAACATCTCTCTATATTAATATATTATATTTGAGCTCGGTACTTATCAGATTTAAAATTTAAAAAAACCAAAGAGAACCTTCATTAAAAGTCTTTAAAAAGCTTAATAAGCCCTCTTGGGTCCTGATGTGGTGTTTTACAAATTGTTAAAATTTACCTGTAAAAAAACCTGGTACCCTGTACCAGGTTAACTCTCCTGTTTTGTCTCTACATTATATACATCTACAAGTTAGATGTAGAGACATCAAACTTCAATATTTTTATTTATTTTTTTTGTTAGAAAGAAGACAACTTTCTACAAAGCTTCACAATTGGTCTTATCCAAACTCTAATTATACCATTTGGAAATATAATATTTAAAATTAAAGTCTAATGTGCACTGTAAGAAGTCTTCATCTTACTAACAAAAAAAAATTGAAAATTAGATCATTTTCAAACTCTGTTAACCCTGTAAAGCATGTTTTTAGACAAAAATAGATTGCATGCAGTTCTTGAGCACTTAAAAAATATTCAAATAGGCACAAATAACTAGAAAAAAAGCATGTTTTGTTTAAAACTATCGAATAAGCAAGACAAAGCACTTTCATATTTGAACTCATTGTAACAATGTAACATGACATCCATTTCCATAGCATTCTATTTACATAATAAGTAATACAGATGTATTCTTTGTTTATTTAGTGTCTTTTTAAGAACTTTAATAATTAAATTAAACCCTACAAAATGATCAACATAACATTAGAAGCTCATTATCTCGAAAAGTATTAACTTTGCTTAGTAATTTACTTTTTAAAACATTTAAAAAATAAGTAGTTCTAAAATGTTACGTTACAGTTATTTTTGTCATTGTTATTTTAAAGGGTTAAAACACTTCCTACTTTTGATTTTAAAATGACAACCTATATTAAAAATTCCATAAGTAAATAGAGTATAAATTTAAATCAATTTTGGTATTGACATTTTCAATCTCGTCAACGGGTATTCTTCTTTTAATTCCACAGGGGAAGAGTAGTAATGCATAATTTGTGTGACTGCATGGCACTTGGCATTTCTATAGTATTCCCCTATTCTACCCCTATCTAAATTTAAAAACATAATATCTTATCAACAATGTCAACATTAAATTGTATTTAAATTGATACTCAATCTATTTTAGATTCTAAGCAGGGTGAGGAATATATTAGCTTTACAATGGTGTTTATTTATTTTATTGATTAATCATTGCTTACAGATATAAATAAAATTACCTATAACAGTGGTTGCAACCATCCCCATTATCCTAGGACAGATTTTTAATTTTTTTTTGTCTAAGTTGCCATTTGAAAATCAAAAAAAAGTTAGTGGTTTCATCCCTTAAAATAACAGTAATGTATTAGTAGTTATTTGTTAAATGTTCTAAAAAACAAATTTTGAACAAGTCAATATTTTCTGAGATAATGTATGTCTTACATTATGTTGATCACTATCTGTATATAATATAAACAAAATAAATACATAGTATACTATTAACAAAAAAATAATGTATCTAATAAAGAAGGTGGGTATTGAAAATGCTATTGCACATTGCTATGGTGATAATAACATTTATATATAGTATATTGCGTAATAGGCAGGGACAGATGTAAATAAAAATAAAAAAGAGAATCCCTTCTCAATTTGAATTTTGAAAATTTATATTTAACACATTTATGATGAAAATCAAATTAAGAATATTATATTATTATGAAGCAAGGGGAATGGAGGGAGGGTAATCATACTCTAGATCCACTACTGTAAATAAATTATATTATTTAAGGTTAGTACAGCTGATTATAAATTATTTATAAATGATATATTTACAATTGATTGTTTTTTTATTGTTCCTGTATCCAAAAACCATTGTTTACTAGCACGAATAATTACTGGTAACTTGGTGCGCCAGTCATAAGGGTAACTATGTTCATACATTTCTGTATGTAGTATTTTATTACTCAATAATGTGCATACCATTTCATTTCCTTCATCTAAAACAGCTAAATTTATAAGTTCTGACCATGTTTGTGGCATAAAAACACCACACTCATCCACATGGCATTCCTATAAAAATGTTTAAGATTAATAATTATCAGAAACTATTTGAAGACAAATTAAAAGTACAGTCATATGGCATAACTTTGGTCATTAAATGTTTTCAATATTTTTGTTGATAATGCATAGAAAACATTTTTTTTTTTTTTGATTTTATACGTGTTCAGATTATTAGAATTATCTTCTATAATAGGGTTGATTAATTGATTTGAAAATATATTATATTTATATGAAAGTTTGTTATTTGATTCAAAGAAAAAAAATATTTGTGATAAAATGTGTTGTTCTATCGGCTACTTTGTGAACAGCATGTGCACTAGAACGTTAAGCATTGAAAATAAGTATTTTAGTATGTATGTTATTGATTTCTAATCAAGTTTGTTTTTTATTGTTTTAAGTTCGGACATAAAAATGGGAAATACGAAAAAACGTAATTGTAATTAGAAATATATTACATAATGATAAGATCACGTGGAGATCAAGATTGTGAAGATTGTGTGGAAAATTTAAATTATTTTGAAATAGATAATTTTATTATTGCAGATGATTAACTAAGCAAATCGAAAAGATTTTATATTGGCCAAATAAAAAAAATTTAAAAAGTCTAGTTTGACATTTATTTTATGAGACCCATTGTAGTAGTCTTATTGGTCCTATTACAATAGGTGGTTACTATTACAAGTTTCATTGTAATAGTAATAATCTTTAGTTAAATGATGTTCATATTTCCGGGTATTGAAGATAGAGACAATACAGAACGTCAATCAATTATTAGGAAACTTTCAAAACCTTTTAGAAGAAAAGGCCTTTACACATTTTCTGAAGATGTTTTATAGATTTTAATTTTTAAGTTTTGACTGATTTATTAATATTTATTTATGTTGGTATAAGGAAACATTTTATTTTATCTATATGAAAAAGGAAATTATTTTATTTTATTTTCTACAAGAAAATGTTGTATTTTATAGTATTGTTTTATTATATTATACCTATTTTAAAATTTAACAAACTGTTTTTGTCAAAAAAACAGTATTAAAGAAAAATATTCTTATAAATTTTTTTTCAATTACAATAACTTTTGATATTTCCATATTTCCATATTTTTTTTAGAAAATATTTTTTTAAAAACATACTGAAGTATCCAAACTAACCTTTACTTTTTAAAATTTGTCCTGTCATATGAATAACAAGTAAAATAAATGGGGAATCCAAAGTTATGAAAAATTAGGGGTAACTTCGGATAGCTATAAATATGCATTTTAAGTTGGCAAAGTTAGCAAAATCGACATTTTTAAAAATGTTTTTCTTATAATGTATTAGGAGTTGACACCTAATAATTGGCATTGAAATAATTCAAATTAAGCTATAAATTAATTTTTTATGAATGAAATGGCTTAAAAATGGTCGGACTTATGCCATATGACGGTATATGACTTATAATGAAACTGTATGTTGACTCTTACAATTGGTATTTTATGTTTCAATGCAATCAAAAAATCATCATGCCCATAAGCTGGTGCAGTGTGAACTAATCCAGTACCTTTATCTGTAGTTACATGATCTCCAGCTAAAAAAGGTTTATCATCTTCACCAAACCTCAAGCTTTTGTATTTTAAACTGCTGAGTTCATTACCTAAAAAATTATTTTAAATACCTATATATATTTTTTTAAATAAATATATGGTACTTACCTTTAATTGTTGAGATTATTTCAATAGATTTATTTATTTTAGTACTTAGATTTTGTATTAGATCAGTGGCTAATAAATATATACCAGGAATATCAAAAATTTTTACAAATGAGTACATTAAATTAGATGAATACACAACAGCAACATTTCCTGGTAATGTCCATGGAGTAGTAGTCCAAATAAGTGCATAAATTATTTCACTGTTACTCAAATTAATTGAAAAAGTAGAAGGACATAATTCAAGTTTGACAGTAACAGATTTACTTTGATGGTTAGTATTGTATTCCAATTCTGCTTCAGCTAGTGCACTTCTACAAAATTATGGAATAAAATAAATAATATGTAAAATAAAAATATTAAATACAGATAAAATTACTTGGAAGATGGTGACCAATACACTGGTTTGAGATCTCTATATATTGATCCCTAATAATAAAATATTATTATTTTATAGTTTAAATAAGGTATATATTATTTTTAATTACTTTTTTATAGAGTTCATAAAATTGTTGAATTTGTTTTTGGATATAATTTTTATCAAAGGTATAATAACAGTTTTTTTCCCAATCAGCAAGGATACCCCAAGACTTGAATACTTTCTTTTGTTTTTCTATTTCCTTTGAAGCATATTTTCTAGCTAAAGAAATTATATAATTGTACACATTTTTTTATAATTGAGTAGTAGTAAAGGTAAGATATTGTATAATATAGAGTAAGTAATTTAACACCTTCAATACAAGCGGTATTTTGGTGTCTTACCCCAGTAGCCGTGCCATTATTGATAAAAACATATAAGTTATGAACACATAGTCTTTGGCTATACGCTACGAACAACACTTGCATATGGCAGATAACGACTAGGGGTCGTCATAATTTTGTTTTTCGTACAATATTATATTTTTTTGAAATGTACTTATATTTTAATTCTACCAGAAAAAATAAAATAGTTTTTTTGTAGTATAGCAAAATATTAAAAAACAATATATTGAAAGTGAATTAACTTTCTTCTATAAATAAGTATAGATAGACATTTTTAAAGAAAACTTATCAGAATAATAAAAAAAAAAAGGAGTTGATACTGGGGACAGGTGCAACCACTATAATAGATCAGCAATTGAGATTGTGCAATACATAAATTTATTTAATTTATACCTGTAAGTAATAATAAATTTTATCTGGGAATAACTTTTTTATACTGGCAATTTTTATCCGATTCACAATTATATCATTTTTTCTAATAAGAATAGAATTCCTTTTAACTGGGGAGGTACTTCAAAGAAGTCATTTTTTGATTTTCCCAAAAGTTTTCTCAAAAAAGGGGAAAACCGAGAAACTATACAAACTTAGGTGGGTATTATTAAAAAAAGATGTCCTAGGATAATATGGAGACGGGAGCAGCCACTGTTATAGGAGCGATGTTGGGAAGGTTATGGAGGAAAAATTTAATGTGTATCTGTAAGCAACAATAAACCATTGTTAACGAAATGTATATCATATTACAGAAAAATAATTAAATAGGCATAATATATTTCTTTTATAATATTTGTTTAATGTACCAATTTTCCCTTTTTTGCAAAATTTTTCCCAGTTTTTCACATTTGATGAGAAAACTCCTGATAAAATCGAAAAATGATCTCCCTAAAGTACCTCCCCAAACTGAATGCCTTTCATAAAATATGCTACACTTAAAAATGGGAGCAAGATCTCTAGAAGAAAAATTGTTCACATAAAAAAAAAAAAGTAAACATCTTTGTAAAATCATAAGGTTCTTCGCTCCACTCAGAATCTAAAAGCAAAATTGAAAATAATAAAAGCATTTCATACAATTTCCCATTCCTTCTACATTTGTTTGGTTCAGATCAATTATTAAACAAAATTTACAGAAAATCAAAAAATAATTTTTTCCAAGTAACTAGATCCAAAATATTCCAATAAAGGTCTCTTGTTTTTTTTGATTGAAGCGAGATTTCAACTTTTATGAAAACCTCTTGGAAAATCAAAAAATGACCTCCCTTAAGCACAAACTAGATAAAATTTCCTTTCAGAAAAGGTGAAATATGTTCCTTGCTACACTCTGAATTGTTTTCATATTAGCATATAAACATTTAAATTTAATAAATTATATTAAATAAAACAGAATGCTATGATAAAAATAAGTGACTTATATAGTAATTTAAGTAATTAACTGTTGGTGATAAAAGGAAAACAGTGACTTATAGTAATTGTAGTGACTTGCTTCCATGCCTGTTACTCATATTTTTAGTAAATGGTTCTTTAGTATATTCGTTATCTGACACACACACCATCTTAAACTTCTTCATCACTGACGACATTGATAAGGTGTTCTAAACGTTGTTTTTTAAAAGTGTTCATTTTAAATTTTCAAAACTAGTAAACCAAAACTGAAAACGAATTACTCGCACAAAGTAAATTATTTTGAAACACTGATATTGATAATTTTATGATATTCTAGCTAGTGAACAGAACACTGAGATAACACAAAACTATAATTCATCGGCAAAAAGTTTAACTAAAAACACTTAGGAAAAAAAAAACAGTACTAAATGTATTAACATTATTAGATATGATAAAAATGTACGAACATATAGTTTAATGATAACACTTTAAAATTACGACTAAATTAAGCTGTTAATCATTATTTACCCCGTGCAAGTGGCTTAAAGTTCTTATTATTTGTATTATTTTGAATCTTTCTTACCATTTTGTCGTATTTTTAAAGGGCTATAATTCTTCCATTTGTTACCATGAATCTTTTCAGCTTTCAACTCAATGGGCAGACCATGACAATCCCACCCTGGTATATAATTAATTTTATTTCCATTTATAAGTTTAGAACGAATAGTAATATCTTTAAGTATCTATAAAGTAATAAATATGAAATACACAAGACACTAAATAGTACATTTAAGAAAATTACTTTATTTAAAGCATGTCCAATATGTGCAGAACCATTTGCATATGGTGGCCCATCATGTAAGATAAATTCTTCATTTTTCATGTGTTCTCTTTGCCAAGAATATAAATCCGAAAATCCACATGTCTATTAAAATGATTAACTCATATATATTTTGTGTGTGTTAAAACAAGAACTATATGTTTTACTTTAAAAATATTGCTGTCTCTTTGAATAGTTTGTTCTACATTCAATCTGCTTTTAAATTTTGTTATTGGTAAAAATAAAGATTTTTTCAATATTGTCGCGTCATCTGAATAGAAGCGCTTAGTCAAATGGTAACGTGATAGATATTTGGTTACAGTATACATAGAAATGTTTGTTTTATTAATTTAATTTAAATTATCTAAAATATTAATTAACATTTCACTACTTTATTGTATGTTTATGTCCATCTTTTGAAAAACCAATAATAAAACTAATTTATTATGGTATATTTAAAATAGATATGATTTTAAGATTGTTGTTTTGTTTGAAAATGTTATAAAAATTAACTTGTAAAATAAATAAAAGGTGTTATTTTATTTAGTTTTTCTAATTAATATTAAAAAAAATAACTTAAAAATTTTACATTAATTTTTAAACTGGATTTTATCTATACCCCTAGCCGGTGTGATAACTGATAATTTTAATCAATATGTCGAATAACAGCTGAAAATTAATAATTAGTTAATAAGTCCATGATTATCGATAAACTTCATTGGTGACCATGATAAAAAATCTTAAAATTTAAATATATATCTTAAATCGAGTTGGTGACACTATAAAGCCACCCCTTGAGATCATATACAATATATGATCTAAAAGCTAACCGACGTAAAGCCACTCAACGTAAAACTACCAGATAACGACCAAAAACCATTCAAAATACACCATCATCAATATAGATATTATATTATCTATGATCATTTAGCACTATACTCTATTCCAAATGAGTTTGAAAAAAGGCATGACGAAAACGCGTCATATTTCGCACAGGTGCTGTTTACGTTCGTTTCTGGCAGTGTGCTGTCGTCGTCCGCCGCCACAAAACGACGAGTATACACAGCGAGCTGTATTAACACACTCGTGGCCGTGACGCGACATCGTTGTTACTTCTCACAACACTCTGCGCTTTGCATATTTTGCATATTTTTTTGTTTCAATTAACTACCCAAGTGAATTATTTATAATGTGCTGCACGTAAAGCAGCGATCAAAATGAGACTATATCACCATTACCTGTTAACACGAATAAACGTGGTAAAGTAAGTATCTTAATTTACAATTTTGATATTATGATTTTTGATTTGTACTTTTTTTGTTGGGCGATTTTCAATTAATTAAATTACTTTCAATCTGCATGTTTTCATTTATTTTATTATAATACATTCTGATTGCAGGCTATTGGTGAACAACGAAGGATCGCTGTAATAAATGTTTACAAGATTAATTTGCCATTGTTTCCAAATTTGCCTTTTTACAAAATGTGTAAACTTATTTCTGAATCAATTGGTATTGGTAAAACAACAATTGATTCTATCCTCAAGGAATACAACCAAACAAAAACGATCTCAATTCCCTCAAAAAATCGTAAAAAAAAATCATTCATTGATGACTGACAATTTTGACAAAAATTCAGTGCGTAGACACGTCCACAGCATTTGGTTAAATACCAACTGTAGACAAAATCTATCAACTTGTGTCCACCGACGATAGTCTACCGCCAATATCGCGCACAAATTTATTTCGCCTTTTGAAAGCATTGGATTTCCGTTACATTAAACGTAGCCGAAATGGTCCTCTGACAGAAAGAAATGAATTGGTTGTGTGGCGAAGAAAGTATTTAAGAAGCATAACACAATTCCGTGAGGAAGGTCGACACATTTACTACCTAGATTTCACAGTATTTAAGTCTACAAAAAGTCTCTGAAATTAATAAATAATTATTATCAAAATGAATTATGCTTATAATGTTTATTCATCGATGGTAATGTTGTAATGAATTCATGGCATAGCGTGGCATTTCATTATTTCAATTGCATTCCATTTCATTTTTTTATTATTTTTTTTATTAAAAAAATGACATTTACAATCTGTATATAAAAAACAAATACAATAAGCAGATATGACACACGATTTATGACGGGAAGAGACAATGAGAAGGGAAGCTATCCAGTGATAGGACCCTATGACGTTACACCCCTATTTTTTCCGGCATTTCTGCCAAGCCAGCGCGCCTTTCAAATCAGTAGGTCTCGACAACAACGTCTTTTTAGACGACGAGGGGGATTTTCGGGGATTGTGACCGTGTGTTGATTCGCAATTAGTGGGTTGGGATGGAGAAGTAATTTTGAGTGGAACTTTTTGTAGTATGTTTTAACTAGATTAACAACCGATTCTATGTTTAGGTCTTTGTGAAGGGTAAGATTGGAAACGTACCAAGGAGCGGACGTGATTATACGAAGAGAAATCGATTGAAAAGCTTCGATTGTTTTTAATTGCGAAGGTTTAGCACAACCCCATATTTGGGCTCTGTACGACCAGATAGGTCTTAACATTGTTTTGTATAAAAGTATTTTGTTGTGGAGAGGAAGTTTGGACTTTAATACTGGACGTAATAAGTGAGATCTAGAATTTAGTGACTTTCTTTTGGATTTGAGGTGAGGACCCCAGGTAAGTCTTTTATCTAAAATAATACCCAGATATTTTACTTGGGACGAGGAGGGGATAGGTACTCCACGGAGGGTGGGAATAGGCATATTTTTTTTATTTAAAGTGAAAGGAACATGAACTGATTTGTCGACATTAATTTTAATTTTCCAGTTTGAGGATCACTTATCTATAAGATCAAGGTGTATTTGAAGAGCATTGTATGCTACGAACGGATCCCTATTAGAGGAAATAATAGATGTGTCATCAGCGTAGGTAGCTATGATTGAGGAGAAACAGTTACCATGTCGAACTTTAAAGGTTCTGTTTTCAAGGTAAGAACGAATTAGTAAGTGAAGTGGAGCAGGGAGGAGTAGTTTCAGTTTATAAAGTAAGTCAATGTGCCAAACCCTATCAAAGGTTTGAGCCACATCCAGGAAGACTGCCGGGCAATAGTTTCTATTTTCGAAGGAAGAAGAAATTTTGTCGAATATTCTGTGGNCCCCATATTTGGGCTCTGTACGACCAGATAGGTCTTAACATTGTTTTGTATAAAAGTATTTTGTTGTGGAGAGGAAGTTTGGACTTTAATACTGGACGTAATAAGTGAGATCTAGAATTTAGTGACTTTCTTTTGGATTTGAGGTAAGTCTTTTATCTAAAATAATACCCAGGTATTTTACTTAGGACGAGGAGGGTATAGGTACTCCATGAAGGGTGGGAATAGGCATATTTTTTTTATTTAAAGTGAAAGGAACATGATTTGTCGACATTAATTTTAATTTTCCAGTTTAAGGACCACTTATCTATAAGATCAAGGTGTATTTGAAGAGCATTGTATGCTACGAACGGATCCCTATTAGAGGAAAGAATAGATGTGTCATCAGCGTAGGTAGCTATGATGGTATCATTGATTTGAGGGATGTCAGAAGAGAAAATATTATAAAGGCCTGGAGAGAGATCGCTTCCTTGGGGAACACCTGCTAGGATTAGAAAGATTGAGGAGAAACAGTTACCATGTCGAACTTTAAAGGTTCTATTTTCGAGGTAAGAACGAATTAGTAAGTAAAGTGGAGGAGTAGTTTCAGTTTATAAAGTAAGCCAATGTGCCAAACCCTATCAAAGGCTTGAGCCACATCCAGGAAGACTGCCGGGCAATAGTTTTTATTTTCGAAGGAAGAAGAAATTTTGTCGATTATTCTGTGGACTTGTTGGATAGTTGAATGATTTGCACGAAAACCGAACTGTGCGTTGGGAATAACTTTTTGGATTTCGATTATTGGTCTAAGTCTTTTTAAAACGATCTTCTCGAATAGCTTGCCAAGCACTGGGAATAAACTAATGGGTCTATACGACGTTGCAATATTCGGGGGTTTTCCTGGTTTAAGTATGAGAATAACTATGGATAGTTTCCAGATAGCAGGGAAATAGGACAATCTTAACATGGAGTTAAAAATGAAAGTTAGGTATAGAATTGTTTTTTTGGGGAGATGTTTTAAAATCTTGTTCGTTATTAAGTCATGACCATTAACAACACGTAAACAACGCTATGCACATGGTAATGCAGCTTATTCAAATAATCTGAAATTTTGATAGTGGCCAATTTCAATTTCTAATTTTGGTTTTCTTTAGCTGGTAATAGTGGCATAGTGCGTTTTTATTGGTTGTAGAAGATGTTGTATCATCCCAATTATACATTTTCAAATGTGTACCTAAATATTCTGTTGATAGTACTGTATGATGGTTTTTGTCAAATGGCATCACGAACTAAGATATATATCAGTCCGTGACGAACGTGTATAAAGTACAACTATGCACGAGAGGTTACCTGTACAAATCTGGAATATACAAACCTTGAATGTAGAAATCTGGAACATACGTTTCTTGAAAATACAAATTTTGAATCCAGGGTTTTACGGTTATTGAAATTTGATCCGTACAAACCTGGAATTCAAAAGTCTGGTGAACAAATCTTGAAAAATAATTTTCTATTAATCCCATGTTATCAAATTTGAACACAAAATCTGAATTTCTATATACAATTATATATATATTTATATAATATACAGAATGTCCCACGAGGATTCGACAAATGCAATAACTTTTGTTCTATTCAATAATTTTGATATACATTTTTTTTTAAATTATTAGTTTACTTCAGCGCTACAGTTTAAACATGAATATAATTTTAGAGGGAGGGGGACTTAAAATGAAAAATTTTAAATTTTACTAAAATTTTTTTGAAAAAAATATTAGTTGTTAATATTTATTAAGATATTAGTCAGGATTTTCTTTTTCGTGAGTTAATATCATGCAATAGTATTATTATATTATAGTTATAAGGTAGTTTCAATCTAGAGTTTATAGATAATATAAGCCGCCTCACATGGAAATTTTTTAAAAGTAGGAAAGGAAGAAAAAACGCCATGACGTCACTCATCTTATAAACAAAATGTTTGTTTAATGTCATCCATCCGGCACCGGCTATTTTATCCGTGATTTGAGATTTAGTTTTCGTTTGAATGATTTGTATATTTATCAGTACTCATATTATATATTTAAATCATTGGTATAATATTAGTACTATATTTATTGATAATAAATACCTTTATAATGGTATCATGTAATGTAAAACTTAAAAGTAGATCGTGTTGTGCTGTGGCGAATTGTGCACAATATTCCGGCATAAATAGAAAACCATTAGAAGCATTGATAACCAAGGTGTCATCTGAAGTGAGTGTATGTTATAAATTTAAAAAAGAACATTTAAAATGTAAAGAGTCTCAACGTCAAAATGTAAAATTAGTTACTCATCTTCAGTCATAATACAGCCACAGCATTCCTACATTATAGACCTATCAAGAATATAAAATTATTAAATGATACTGCAAATTGCATACAACTTATTAATAACTGGTTCAATTTGGATAATGTTGCCCATCCAAATGATAAAAGCACACCTGTAAAATCACCATACGGAACATTTTTATATGAACAAGACAAATTGAAGTTTATGATACTATTATTTCAATGAGATGTAAAAGAAAAAACTGCAAATTTTCCAAAAAAGCATTCTTACGTATATTAACAGTACAAAGCAAATTCTACACATTTTAAAAGAAAATTACCTGAATTATTTGCTAAGCAGCAAAATAAATTAAGATGCTCTAAAAAATGTATTTTGTCAGCTTTGTTCTAGAACTAATTCTAATTATTTCATAATTAATAATAAATATAAAAATTGATAAAAAAAACATTTTAAAAATTAATATAAGTAAATACCTGATTTTTAGCACTATTTATTTCATCAGATGATACTTTGAAATCATTTTATTTTAAAAATAAATAAATAATTAAGAAACTTTTTATCAAATTACAATAAATAACTGTAATAATGAAACGAAATAGGATAGTGTTGTCACTCGTCAGCATCGTCGGTCGTAATAATATAAAATATGCATCTATATTAATATATACTATGGAATTTTCCCAACAAATGTGAAAAACCAGGATAAAACATGGGAAAATCGATACAACATTAAACAAATATTATTAAAGAAAATATAGAAAGCCTATTTAATTATTTTACTATAACATGACATATATATATTGTTGACAAAGTTTAACTATCAAAAATTATTATTAAACTAGAAATGTATCTTTTATTTTGTTTATGTGCGTATAATTTTTTACTATCAGAATAATATAGATAGATACATATATTTAAATGTTGATTCTACTATTAGTACCTTTTAATTGTATGGGCAGCATGACTTTTAAAACAGTGCCAGATATTTTAGAACCATAGTGACCCCTCCAATATTGTGTATCTACTCCAGCATGATAAATACTGATGGAAGATGCATTGCTTTGGTTTTTAAAGATATGTGAAATCTAAAATAAAATATAAAGACATAAAAATATTTAATTATGTAAATGTTAAAAATACAAACTTTGGTCCATTTATTTGCCTGCCACTGTAGTAAAATATTATTATAATCATGTAATTCTAGTACCATATTAGTTCTATCATGAACAGATGCCTTGAATATATACTTGCAGCCACAATCACATCGGCCCGAATACCTGTAATTCAATTTTGAAATTAATGTAAAAAAAATACTTCTTATTAATGCAGTGTATTACCATTCACTAACTAAAATATCAGGTTTAAGTAATTTCATTATAGTGTTGGTTAAACCATGATTTTTGAATAAAATTGTTTGACTTTTAGAACATAGTTTATAAGTTGAAACAAAACAAGATGTTTGGCCATCAAAATCTGGATCATCAGGCAATGGATCAGCACCAACTGGATTTTTTTCAATAATCCACCACATGTCATTGAAAGCCCAGTGCTTAAAATTATCTATATTTAAAACAAAATTATCATTATGATTTAAATATAAATATACATATGCATATATTATTGTGAGATTAATCTTGAAATCCAAAAACTTTATTTAAAATTATTACCTATAAATCCTGCGTGAGTTATTGATAAAATTGAAAATTAATACTTATATATTTTTCACAAAATTATTTAAAGAATACTTATGTCTCATTATAATGAAAAGGAATTAATTAGTGATGAGTCGAACTCTGATTTTTGACATTGAACCTGACTTTTACAATATTTTTTGAAGCCGAACAGAACTTTTATATTTTTAGTCGAACTCAAACTTGATTTTTTTTCATACAGATATAAAATATAAGTGATCGCCTGTAAAACCCTGGAATGTTAAAATCTGGACAATATGACAGTACAAACTCCTAGGATGACAACAGGTATATACCATCATTAAATTACAATATGCAAACCATAAAATAAACAATATTGAGTTATTTAACATAACATGTCATATCCACATAATACCAGAACTTCAAAAAACTATAATTTAGTCACTAAATCGAAACTAAGTCAGTCCGCTCAATTCTGACTTTACCATCGTCCTTATTTCATCAATATATTGATGTTCAAAACAAAAAAAGACGTTCTAAGATAATGGGAACTTTTGCGGCCACTGTTATAGGTAATTTAATGTATATCTGTTACCAACGATTAACCATTGCTAACGAAAAAAACGAATCTGAGCAGAGTTCAGTTGATAGTAATGCTTTGTCAACAATATATTATGTATAGTAAATAAATATATAAATAAAAAATTTACATATAAAAATGAAATATATGAAAAAAAATATAAAAATGAATAAATGAATGAATGCGTCGCCTGGAGTATTATGATAAGTGTATTATACGACCAGTTTCGAATTTAAAATTCATCATCAGGTATATCACAGTCAAAATGTAAAACACGATATATGTATGCCACATTATGGTAAAATAATTAAATAGACATTACATATTATCTTTAATAATATTTGTTTAATGTACCGATTTTCCCGTTTTTCTTCAGCCTTTTTTCGGTTATTCGTATTTATTGAAAAAACTCTTGAGAAAATCGAAAAATGACCTCGCTAAAGTACCTCTCTACAACGATTTCTTTTCAGAAAAGGTACTTTACTTGATAATTCGGTATTAATTCGGTATAATTCGGTATATAATTCAAGATTTCTATTAAAATTCTTATTCACAGTATAAAAATAATAAATTAAACATCATTAAATGTAACTACACTCAAAATCCAAAATATAAATTAATAGTGATACTATTTAAATTATTACCTATAGTAACAAAATAAAAATATTACAAAAGTAAATATTATAATAGAGACTATTTAAATTTGTAGAGTGCATAAAATTAATAAATTTGTTTTTATTTTTGTTTAATTTTATTAATTTATATTTTTAGATAACCTAAATTAATTTTTAATTTTCTGTAATATACAACTCTAACAAAAATTACATTTTTGACCAAACTTAGTTTTAAATTTCATAATTTTTTAGATCTTTTACAATGCTTTAGAATTTGTTTTTATAAGCATTTTAAGATCAGATTTTGAAGAAAATCGTAACAATTACGCCATTTTAAAATATGTCTTACTGAATTGCGCTCCGAATCATTTTTCGTTAGCAATAGTTTACCGTTGCGTACAAAAATATAAATAAAATAGTTAAATCCTAAATATACCTTATCTTCCTAACATCGCATCTACAACAGTGACTCCACCCGTCCCTAGTAACAGAACTCTTTTTTTTCTTGTTGTTTTCTTTTAGGTACATAATAAAATTCCAGGTTACATCTGTCCTCAACATTCCTATTTTCTAATGTAGAATTAATACATTCATAATACGTAATTATGTAAATATGTAAATTTATTGTAAGCTTTAAATTAAAATACCAAATGTAGTAAATAACGGAAATTATGATGTTAATATGTAATAATGATAAATGTAATAATTTTAAGTATATGTTTGTATTTCAATCTTTGTACTTTGTAATGCTGATTTAAACAAATTACATCTGAACAGTCAAATTTAAGTATATGAATAATATTTATGGCCTACTCATAACCCCTTAAAACGGATATACTATGTTGTATTTGTTATATGTTGTCCAGAATTTTACGAATTTAAAATTTTAACATACCATTTTTCTACAAGCTCCCAACGTAAATCAACCATAATTACAATTCCTTTTTATTTTTAGTTAGTCTATAAAGAACAAAAGCAATATAATGAAATTTATATTACTCTGTAGAACTTGTAAATACAAATTTTAGTGCTTTATAGAAGTAACCGAATTATGTAGGTGATTACCGTATACCGAATGAATAAAATGCATTATAGAAATTAAACGTGAATAACGTAAAACAGATTTTTAACTAGATAACGATGCAGCGGTGGAATATTGCTACTTATAGGCTTTCCTAAATTAAAAGTAGATTGTTCACATTTCATGACAATAATCATAATTGAAATATATTTACAACGTTATTGCTTACATACCCCTTCTCAATAAAATTAATTTGATCATAAAAATAAAAATTGCAGCGTGTTAATTGAATTTGAACTTTGAACTTCCATATTTTTGAACAGTATTAGACACTAAATGTCTAAATAGTTTCAAATATTCATATTATTTTAAATAATATTTACAGATGTGGGTTCTTAAATTTATTAGCTGTAATAATATCAGTATTGTTTTTTTTCTTTTAATTTTCTTTAGAAATACTGAACGGGCTGGGTGCACAAAATAATATTGTGCTTTACCAAGCACCAATTATGCGTACCACCTTGTTGCGGCCCGTACCTACTTGGTCGGTCATAATGGTATTTACTAAAATGATGAACATATTAGAGTGAGGTCACACAAGCGTTTTATTAACGGACGTCCGTTGGATTTACCGTCCGTTCGACGTTGATGATAGGCAAGACATGCTATAACGTCCGTTACGATTTACTTATCGTTGTTTTTCGCGAATAATTTTCAAAGCAGTATACGCAAAAATCGCAACCTCCTCGTCATCTATTTTGATGATAACTGACGTTGTTCCTAGCTAGTGTGACCGGAAAAGTAACGTCCGTTAATAAAACGCTCGTGTGACCTCACTCTTAATAAATGGACTGCGCTTTCCTCACCTCCCGTTTATGGTGTTCATGAACAATATTGAGTGAGGATAGTGATGGTTAGGGGCAATCATGGATGACTTTTAAATTTTTATTTCACCATGAAAATGATTGTTATTATTTCCACTATAATAGATTAAATTTACGTGATAAACTAATAAATAATAATAATTTCATGGTGTACATTAAAATATTCAAACATTCTTTCTACGAATGGCCCTAACTAGCATTCTCTCTCTCTCACTATCTCATTCAATATAAGTTCTGTGTTTCCTTCTCTAAGCGCAGTCCATTTATTAATATGTCTATAACTGAAATCGACCAGCACAAACTAAGATATATTAGTTCATGTCGTCCAAAATCGATCTGATGTGCACCTAGATAACGAAAGCTCTGTTGTCATCATAGATTTATAAAATGCCTAAATATTGAAGTCATACGCCATTTACAGGTTGGGCAAAAACGATAGTGAATCATTGATATTTAACGGTTGTTGTTATTATTACATTGGGTGCGTTCGTGTAACTCGTTTAAACGCTTATAAGCGACACCGCGCCGTTTGGTTAGGCGTTTGATAGCGCTCAGACTACATCCATGACGTCACTGAATTTGAGCGCTACGTCATCGATCCGCGCTCACAAACGCTTATCGCATCGAAGTATACTATTTTTCACGAAAGAACGGTAATGAGTCTCGACGAAAACCAGTCATTCTTACGCATCCCCACGCCGCACCTCAGTCTGCATGCGCGAAACACTACTTTTCTCTCGTGAAAAATAATATAGGGCAGCAAACGCTCACAAGCTAATCAAATGATAATAGATACACCAAAATAAGTGATAACTGTTTGGCTATATTTTCACCTAAAATTAAATTATTATTCTTTGTAGAATGCGACCACGCCGTTAAGACTGCGATTTATATAAATTTATAGAAATAAAAATGTTTGAAGTAAATAACATTTTAACAATTTTTAAAATAACATCGTTAGTTCGTTACAATTATAGTACCTAGTGATAACAATTAACAGCTGATAACTACGATGATCGTACAATAAATACAAGATAATAACATTGTTTACATGAATGTGAGGCGACATATATTATCTATAAACCTTGCAATCAGTATTCTTATATTTGCGTTCGTCTTGAAATCCACCTAGTAGTGCTATTCAGCTATATGTCTAAACGAACCGTTCATAAGCGTGAGCGTTACCATAAGCACCGTAAGCGTCTAAGTATGCAACACGAATTATGAAATAAACATCGAATCGATATAAAAATCGATAATAATTATATCGAAGTCGATTATATCCTATTTTGCAATCGTTTTTTCCCCCACCTGTAAATGGTTGCCTTCAAATTGTTGTCAAGCCAGTATACAGAGTTTGCTATCTAGTTATTTTATATATCTAAAGTTGTCAATCTCTTTTTTAACAGTTCAATCACTGTTGCGTATTTTTTATCAGTTATGGGAATAGATTTAATTATTTTTATAATTTTCGTTAATATAAATAACAGCTCACCGGGAAAATCCAGATGTCCCGATTATCAATATAAAGTTTCAAAAACTACTTTCGGAGTCCCTACAAATGAATATGAAAAAAATAAATGGGAAAATGTGTTAAAACTTTTTTCAAAAAAGTTATAGGGAGTGTACTTCAAATTTTCACAAGGAGAGTGATAGAGTCTACTTGGGAATCTGGTGAAGATAAAAATAAATACAGAGTATGAGTATATTATTTCAGTGTACCTATATTATTATCATTTTTCAATAAATGATAAATTGCTATTTAGATGTCTTAAAATTTTTAAACTTTAGGATGGAGCAATTCCATCAGTATGAAGTGCCAAATTAAAACCAAAATGAGGAAGGTATCAAAATTGGTCACTTCCTAAAACTAAATTTCTAATTAATATAGGTAATATAAAACTAGTTAGGTACTACCTAATGATAATTATTAATTAATAAATCAAAATACTTGAGTGAGAACTGTGAACCCGGCTATTTATTTATTGCATACCACGAATATAAATATTGTATTATTAAATAGTAAAAAAAAATAACTTTATTTACTATATTTTGCTTCTGTAACCCTGTAGCATTAATAAAATTAATCAATGCCCCTAGGAACTTGAGCAATAATATTATATTTACTAATGCAGTCATAGTATTTATCACCTAGAAAGCACCGAATGCTGATGTGAAAGCCAACACACGTTTTGAGCTTCACATTATCACGGTTTGCTCCGCAACCATAATATTATCTATTATCTATATTGACAGGCGTGCGTATAGATAAGTATAGGTACATATCAGCAAAAACAACAAAGGCGTGTTATCATAGAAAGAACTAACAAACAGTGGACCAGACAGTTCATACATGTACTCAGGAGTCCAAAGAAGACTTAAATCTCTAAGAAATTTTATTGCCAATTCAATCACAATCCAAGACCCACCAGCACAACACAGATTACACAAATGGAGAAAAGAGCTACAATAAATCATTGCTAACAAAAAACTATTCGGACCGAAGTTTGGTATTACATGTTCTGAAAAACCGTATAATATTTACGATTTTCGTCGAAATTTGATATATTATTCTTCTATAAAAAAAAATACTACATTAAACTTAATTTATTTGTTTTTACACTGAGTATGATTTATAATGAACCGACTGGTAAATATTTCAAACAATTCGGTTTGGTCTGACAATTTTATCCACGTACAAAATTCGCAAAATTAAAATGTCTCATAACTCAAATATTTTGAAAATTTTACCAAGTCACACCAAACATAAGATTTCTGTCACAGTGTCAAGCTTTTGCGAATATTTTCAATTGAATTGAAATTAACAAAAATAATTTTGAATAATAAAAGCATTATTTTTGTTCTTTTTAGGTTTTTCTCATAAAAATTTAAAATAAAGGAATCGTGTATCGTATAGCAGCCGTCGCGCCGGATCGTAACAACCACGCACACTACCTCGAGGTCATGACATCGCAAAGTTTCGGTTTCTCATAGAAGCGAATTTTACTATTCAGTATTCTATAAGCGGTTAGGCGCTGTTGACGTTTTAATGCAATTAAAATATATTATACCGGCGTCGCCGCGGCACTATACGCCCCAAACGCACTTTTGCCGTGACGGGTGCGCGTTATCACGAACTAATTACTTTTAAAAGCCATTGTTGTTTTTTTTTCTACATATGTATGAATAAATAGATCAATAAATATAATTTCTGTCATAGCCCGCGAATCGTTTTAATAGCATTATTGCTTTTTATATTATTAAACAACTAGCGATGAATAGGTACTACTACCTAAACATGTATAAACAATTAAAACTTCACTATGCAACTTTTCTGGAAACGTTTTGATTGATACTACCAAATTTTGGCACAGACAATTGCCCACCTTGCCCGTACGCTAGAACCGACACTGGTGTATATATATTTTATATATCTTTGGATATAATACATACATTATAATTTATTTGAGTGTTGATATAATAAAATATGGCTTTTTTTAATAAAAAAAAAAAACAAATACAAATGAATAAATAGAAACATACATAAAGTAAATATGGAATTTGATTGATCAAGGGACAATGAATAATTATCCAAATCAATTTAAGTTTTATTTATATAAATTTAGCACTAAAAAAAAAAAACCTAGAATAAGAAAAATAACTACAACGAAGCCAAAAATAACTAACCATTATTTAAAAGTATATATTAAAACAAAACTATTTTACTTGCCTTGTCCGCAATGATTTCGCACCAAGTTTCTGTGGAATGGATCATACTTACAAATTGCATAAAACACATACCATGGAAATTCTAACTTTCGCACAGTATTTGAATCAATTTGTGAGAAACTGTAATATCCTTTACCATTATTTACAAATTTATTTTCTCGTGATGCTTTTTCTTGAAACACATATGCATCAATAAATGATTTCCATCTTTTACAAACAATTCTACAATTAAGAAGTGAATCTACATCAACAAAACTCAATAAGCATATGATCATTTCGTCTGGCAGTAAATCAAAAGGTTTCTCTTTCTTCACTTTTACAGAACGGTTAAAAAATTTCATTTTATTCATTTTAAAACTATAGACTAATATCGTAGGTTAGCAGTATATTTGAAACTAATATTACAGATAAATAAAAAAAATATGTTGTTTTTATTTTAAATAATTCAATAACAACAAAATCAGTGGAAATGGTACAATAAGGAAATGTATTTAAACCACGGGCGTATATAGAGGACTGCACGAGAGCAACATTATTGTAGATTTAGTAATGATGGGCGGTAACGAATAACTATCGAATTATTCGATAGTCTCTTGGAATAATAATAATTATTGTTTATTCGATAGCTTTTATTCAAATAAATATCATTCATCTGAATAATCTTTAATCTTGATTCGAGTGAGTATTACTACAACCATAGATATATAAAACAACTGGATAGCAAACTCTGTATACTGGCTTGACAACAATATAAAGTTGTTTACCATTTACAGGTGGGGCAAAAACGATTGCAAAATAGGATAAAATCGACATCGATATAAGTATAATTGATTTTTATATCGATTCGATGTTTTTTATCACATAATGGACACAATGTAATAATAAAAATAACAATCATTAATTATCAACAGTTCAGTACAATATTTGACCAACCTGTAAACCATAGACATATTAAGATATGGACTGCGCCTCCCCCACATCCTGCTATAAGTTTATCGAAATAGGATTGTTAGCAAGAGAAAAAGCTTAGTTTAGGTAAGAAAAATGTAATATCATGGAACAATAAACACAAAAAGCAAAATTTAAAATCATAGACATATAAATGCACTTAATTAATACATACAATGTTTTAAATATAGGATTTAAAATATTTTTAATAATTTCTTAGCTCTTTAAAATATTGGTAGAGTACCTATAAAGGAATATAAAATATGAATCTAGGAAAAAAAGTGACACAAAATAATGACATGGAAAAAAATCATTAAATGTATTTTATTTAAAAAACACAAATATCAGTTTTAAGTAGACATATAAAATAAAATTAATACCTATAAAATTCTTTATCCGTCTATTGTTTTAAGTCAAATACATGAACATTAGATAATAAATCTTATATCTTTGGTCAATTATAAAGTTATCAAATTAAAATATAAAAAAAGGAAATAGGTAAATTATAATAATAATAATAATAATAATTCTGAAATCTGCTATTTTATTTTGACCGATTACCTTAATATATATCTATTGATTTTTAAAATTAATAGTCTTAGTTAAAAACGATCCTATGCGTTTTTTGGATGACTCATACTCAGAATAAAATGATTAACACCAATTCTGAAATAAATTTTAAGAATTAAATGTGTAAGTTTCAGTAAATGATTGTCTAATGGATTTTGATTCAAAATATGATCAGCTAATACAATAAAAATATTTTTTAGATTAATTTGTGAAGAAGTTTTAATAATTAAATAGTTGATAATATTGGGTTTAGTTGGTATTAAACTTTTATAAAAGTTAAAAATTCGTTCAGCTACTTTACATAAATAGATAACATCTACTGATGGGTTTCTTAATCCTCCACGGGATTTAATATTTATTAATGATCCACTTTGGGTATTAGTTTGAGTCAAAACTTCAGTACGTTCGTCACAAATTAATTTCTGTGAGTTTTCAGACAATGAACCCAGCTATTTACTCCACAATATCTTTAACTACTTGTTGTACAACATTAAATTGGTTTGTATTGAAATTAATGTTGTCATCTTTTATTTTTGCACATAGCATATCTAAATAAATATTGGAATTTTCAGCAGGTTTTGAGATGCTACTAATGACCCATAAAATCATTGTCCTATCCACCATACAATTTACTCCAGATGATGTCATTATTTCTGTATGAACTAATAGTCTTTTAAGAGAACTTTCAAACTGTAAAGCAGTAGGATTATTGTTGAAACCTCCTCTTTAACGGATAGCAGAGAAAAACATTTAAAGGTGATCTTGACTCATTTCATATATTAATAAAAAATCTAATTCTTTTGTTATAACTATCTTAATATGTCTGTGCTGTAAACAGTGTTAGGATTAGATAAGTACTATTTATCTAGATAAAGATAATACAACAAAAAATTATCTAGAAAAGGATAAAAGTAATTTTTTTATTTTCTCAAGAGTTTTCTGATCAAAAATTGTTTTTATTATTATTTGTAGTTATTAATATCTAGAAAAAAGTTCTTATATTGAAGTCAGAAAAAGTTTATCTGGCTTAGTTTTAGAGTTACAGACATTCAAATACATCATATTTTGCTCTGCTCAATTGGACAATTTTAATAGACAATAACACCCAGATTTGTTGCACAAAACCACAGGTTAGGTAAATTAAAAAAGCATTATAGGTGGAATTAGAAACTAAATGTGGTCCTGCGCTCGCTGGTCATTGGCATTTTTTACGTTTCAACAAGAATAACTCTAATAATAAGCCAAATTAAATTATTCTGACTTCAATAAAATACTTTGTTATCTAAATATCAATAACTATAAATAATAATAAAAAAAATAATTTCTATTTTTAACCACATTTTGAATTAATTCCAAAAATGATTTTTTTTAAGGTTTATATAAAAAACTTTAAAAGTAAGTATAATGGATACATTTTGATTATACTAATAGATTAGGCATTAAAATACACACATTTTGAAAAAAAAAAAAAAAATAGAAAATGTTGAATCCTCGCAAAGAAATATGCAAAATGGAAAACCAGAATTTCATGAAGTTTTATCCCATAACTTTTAGTTCGTCAGACTTTTTTTTTTAAATTCTCAATGTATGTATATTTGTCCAAAATCTCAAGTCATAAGGTATCTGGAAAGTTGGTCTGAAAATATAAAAATCAAATCTGACCAAGGACTTCTTATTTATGAGATATGAGAAGAAAAGATTTCTTATGTTTTTAACATTTTTTCTCTCAACTTAAATACCATGATATCTGGAAAATGCAAAAATTGAAATTGTATCTACTTAACATGGTTCAGAGTGATTTTTGAATTAAAATCCTCTGTGTTTTATTTTGGTACTTTTATATTTTTTCCCCATTTCAAATATCAAATACTTTCTCCTGCTGGATTAATAGGTAAGTCAAGCTACAAAATTTGGTTATACATTGTAGTTATCACTTTTATGGTATCTACAGATTATTTTATAAATAAATTAATACAATTTATTATTTTAATAATAAATATTTAATGTTTTATGATATGGTGTTTCTTCTAAAATGGCAGCATTTTCTCTCCGATAACCCCATAAATAAGTATCAACTATAATAGAATTGCAAATCAATTGACTATTGGTTTTAGCTATTAAGTTCTTCAGCTCGCATACAATATTGTTAACTGCGACAACAGAAGCTGCTCTTATCTCTACTTCTGCCGGTGCTCCATGCTCAAGCAGAATACCTATAAATTATAATTGTTGTTTAAATAGACATTTAATTAATTTAATCAACAAGTATATACAACATTATAATACCTTGTTTAAGAGTTTCTTTTAATTTGTCAGAATATTTTAAAACACCAAAATATAACAGTACTTGAGGGACTCTATAATTGTAAACATAATTTGGTTTTATTTTAATGAAAACATTGATTTTATAATATATGATAGCTGGCTACCACCGATATTAACATTGTATAAGTTATCTGTATATTGTATAACCAATGATAAAACTAAGCAATACACTAATATAAATTACCTACCTATAATCTGCAAACATAGTTAGAGTATTTATGTCATGGAATTCACCAAAGCCCAAACCCCTGCATGATGACCAAATATCAGCAATTAATATTTGAGCTCTTTTATAAAAAGCAACTAAAAAATATTTACATTCAAAATTGGGTATTATTTAGTTTGTTTGATGTATAACCTGTTTTGCCATCATAGATTGATTCGTCTCGAAAATAAAAAAAATTTTCAGAAATAATTTCTAACAACTTCTGAGCAGAATGATTTGCCTCTAATATACAATTTACAAAGTTTCCTAAAAATAAAATTGAACAAATAAATTACTTGTGTTATTTATGTTTTATATAACTTAATAAATCTAAAATTTAACTACAGTTTTTTTATATTGATTAATAATGTACCTTTATATTTTTTTAATAAAACATCTGCAGACTGTTGTAAACACAAATATCGTTCTTGTAATAGTGGAATAGTTATCCCATCATCCCCTAAAAGTATTTCATCCAGTTGATTTCTAGTTAATTTCAAACAAGTATTCATATCAGTCATTTTTATTCCTTTCTGTATAAAAAAAATTAAATAATGGCATTGATATTAACTAAATTACTAATATAGTTATATTTATTTTTAATAATTACAAACTTCTAAAGCTCTATTGACAGCTGCACATAAACCAAAATAACCTGAATATTTTTGGTTTTTCCAGGTAACCGTCCAATGATGTTTATTATTGGGATCAAAAAAACAATAATTTAAAGAGTCGATAATAAATATCCAATTAATTGCTTCTTCGTCTTCATTTTGAGGATGCAATGGACATTTCTTGAACTCATCAAGTGTTATTTTATTTTCTTTTATTAATGTATAAATCTTAAACAAATAATAACAATTATTTCAAAGGCATAAGTTATGAAAGTATTTTACATAATATGACGTACATTGTACATGTAAGATATAATTTAAATACATGTAGGCATGTATAATTATGTAAATAATGAAGCTTAAAACATTTATCCGAACTCCACAAAATATAAATTATGGCTTGCACAAAATACAAAGTAGGCACACTTTTTTTTTAAAACAGAAAATCATTTAAACTACCTTTTCAGCCAATTTTGGGATGTTTGATGAAAGAATTTGAACATCTTTAGATTTATTCATTACTTCTTGACAGGTGTCTAATACTTTTAAAACCATTTTAATTTGTGAGTGGAAATCAATATTAAAAAACACTATAAACTATTGCCAGAAGAAATGTACTATAGTTACTATGTACTATAGTTAGTTAGCATAAAACATTAAACAAAGCCATAACAATAATATTGTTACTGCTATAGTATTGTACAATCTGTCTAGCACAGACAGATAACAGCATTGATTAAATATATATAGATAGCTCATGGGTATACAAAAGATGTAATGACCGTAATTAGTACTAAGAGTTCTCAAAAGATGGCATTAGAAATACCAATATTTAAGAAATAATCATAATTAGATAGGCAGTGAAATTATTAGTGAGTGGAAGGGGTTCATATCAATAAGCCGACTGTCATAAACAATTCCCAGTATGGATATTGGATAGAAGTCTGCGATAAGAAAACAACCTTTTCTCGCCAGTCATATAATTAATAATTTATAATATTACAGTGCTACAGCAGTAAGTTTTCAATTGTTCTTTTTAATAAATGTGTAAAATATAACATTTTCATGTTTTCTTAGTTTTTTTTTCGTCAAATGTCAATAAAATATTTTTGCCTAATTAGAAAATCTTGGCAATTTATAGTAATGCTTCTCATATATTTCTCTACACCAGTGGTTCTTAACCGGTGTTCCGTGGACCTGGTATAAGTGTTCCGCCAAAATTTTAAAATTAGTGAAAAAATATGTTCAGTTCCATTGTCTTAACATTTTGACTTTTATGGACTTCCAAAACACAAAAGTATAAGACGTGTATAACAATAACTTTATACTCTATAGTGTATAGAATCATTTTAGGTTTTGTTGGTTTATTTTTATACACTATTTGCTAAAGCTTCCCTATGAATCATACAATGAGTAAATAGTATATTTGGTAAAATTTCGTTAACTTTAGCTCTACAGCCTTTCTTTGATCCAATAAGTGTTGCTGCACCATCTGTACAAATGGCCTTACACACTGACCACGAAATTTCATTATGTTCAAAAAATGTATTAATAAGGGTAAATATGTTATTACCAGTGGTCCTGCCATCTAAAGTTTGACAAAATAAAAATTCTTTTAAAATTTCTTCTTTGTAAATATACCTGCCATACACAAGAAGTTGAGAAAAGTCAGAGATATCTGTAGATTCGTCCATTTGCTTTGCAAAATAATTACTTTGCAATCTATTTATAAGTTGTTTTAATATATCATCATATATGTTCGAAATCCGACGCGATACAGTATTATTAGACAATAGAATTGATTTTAAATCATTAGTATATGCCTCACCGTGCATAGCCGTTACAATTTTTATAGCGGCTGGCAAGACAAGAGATTCGCCAATCAAATGCGGTTTTTTTTGTTTTTGCTATTAAGTATGAAACTTCGAATGATGCAACCAAAGCTTTTTTGAAACTGTAGAAAATGTATTAAAAACTTTTTTTTGAAACTTTAATGAATTTTCATGTCTTTTAATAAATTGTTCATCTTTATTACTATATTGCGGATGTTTCGTTTCTAAATGTCGTTTAAGTTTAGAAGGTTTCATACTTTCGGATGCCAATATTTCTAAACATATTGACAACAATGACAACAATTGACATAATACAACGAAAATGAGAAACTCTTATTTCTATGTAACACATAGTACTTCCATTCAGACATGGGTAAAATACTTTTAAAAATTATTAAGAATACCTACATATTCGAATAAAAACTAAAAAATAATGTGATATTGGAGATGAGTGCTGCCACTGTTGTAGGTTGGTAGTTAGGAAATAGTGATATATAAGGATATTTTATTTATATATGTACGTTTTTTCCCGTTTATTATGAAAATTAATTCAAAAATCAAAATAATGAACTGCATTATTAAAAACAAGATTAATAATTCAACAAATAAGGTCTCTTGTCGTTTTTCAATTGGAGCTATAATTGCACTAGAAAACGTGGTAAGTACTTATAAAAAACGAAATAACTAAAATAATGAAATCGAGAAAAAATCGTATTTTTTTCCCGGTTAATCGTTTTTATTTCAAATACTATTTCGAAAATCAAAAAGTGACCTATGTATTTATCAAGTAGATAAAATTAACTTTCAGAAAAGGTACTACCCTTAAACATCGGAGCAAGTTTTCTAGGCTAAAAGTGTTATAAAAACACTATAAAAAAAAAAATGTATCATTGTAAAAAAATTTAAAAGTCGTGCGATGATTTTGAAAGGTTTACCACGTCTAGGTAAGTTTAATATAAGTATTATTACCAAGTTTGAAGCCTACGTGTATTTATAACCGAATTACAGCAAAAGAAACTCCCAAAAATTAAAATTCCTTAAATGCTCAAAAGTGGCTCAAGTTTTGGCGATGATACCGTTAGAAACTAAATCAAAAATGCAAACAAATATGTTTTGTGGTATTTTGATTACATCATTTTTTCTGGTAGAAAAGTTGTACATAGAAACAAAAAAGACCATAATTTTTTTTTACTAATACCTACATTTCGCACATTTCCCGTTTTTCTTACATTTTATCATGAATTTTCTCAGATATAATGAAAGTCGCTTGGAAAATCAAAAAATAACCTCCCAAAAGTACCATCTGGACAACATTCCTTTTCAAATATGGTGCCACGTGTATATATCTGAGCAAGATTTATGGTCGAATTTTTTTACACAGGATAAAAAAAAAAGAATAAACATCTTAGTAAAACCAATACATTCTTTGCTACACTCAGAATATAAAAGACGTCCTAGGATAATAGAGACGGGTGCAGTCTCTGTTATATGTAATTTATTGTATACCTGTTAGCAACGTTAAATCATTGCTAACGGAAAAGCAATTCTGAGCACAGTTCAATTGATAGTGATGCTTTTTCAACAATATATATGACATATTATGGTAAAATAATTAAATAGAAATTATATATTTTCTTTGATAATATTTGTTTAATATTGTATGGATTTTCCCGTTTTTTCCGGATTATCATATTTGCTAAGAAAACTCTTAGAAAAATTACTTCTCTAAAGTACCTTTCCAGTCAGATTTACTTTCAATAAAAGTGCCATCATTGTACATCAACGCAAACTCTGGTAGAAAAGTTGTCCACAGAAAAACATTTTTTTTTAAAACCATAAGCTTCTTCTCTCCACTTAGAATCTAAACTGTAAAGTTAAATTCAGATAATAGGAAACTAGATATTATATGATAAGGCGATAGTTAACATAATTATGTTTATGTAGTATATTATGTTGTGCAATAAGACGTTCCTATATTGAATTTTATTAATTCATAATACTTTAAATAACTTAAAATAATAAACATATAGAACACAATTTATTTTAAAATCTTCAAAATTCATATTATAAAATTTGCATTTCATTTTTAGAAAGGAAAAGTTAGAAGGACTATTTGAAAGTAAAATCACATTTATAAAATTTCAAATTATATTATTATTGTATGTTTAATTGTTAATTACTCATTAATTACATATATTATTTTATGTCAACATTATAATTAATTAACATCTGAATGTAATTATAATTTATGATCATATATTAATTGTATTAATTTTTATAACTATTGCATGTCTGACAAATTCCTAAATAACTTAATATTGTTGTTAAATTTTAACATTAATATTTAATACATATTCAAATTTGTTTCCCTCGATTTTGCCTTTATTTTTGTTAAAACATTATCACTGATGCTAAAAACATATTCAACAGCAGCACTGCTGGGTAGGGGTGTGTTAATTTTATATGTTTTTGTAATGGATGGTGCATCAATTAAGGAATTAGTGTTTTGTGATAACTTTTCGATAAATAATTGGAAATTTCTTGTTCCAACGGAACAATTTTCGTTTGATAACGATTTGCGCCGTCAAATAACCCCATTATAGTATGTAATTATTTCATAATTTTCTTGTGGAGAAAAAAATATCCTAAAATGAGTGATAAAAAGTATTTTTTTATAAGAATTAAAACGCTTTCTAAAAATATTCAGAATACTACCCATTGTATTAGTTTACAAAATAAATGAACTAATGAATTAAAATATACTCTTAGTCCAAATTTTATAGATGAATCTTTTATTGAATTGTCAACATATTTTACGTAGCTAAATTGACACATTACTTTCATAATAATATAACCTTAAAAACTACCCAATATATTATCACAATTGATGTCTTATCCTATTATACTATCAATATAACCATATGGCAATACTATAATATTATACACCCATGTCTGTTTCTCTCATAAACATATTAAGATATCTTAATATGTCTATGGTTTCCCTTTATATAAATATATACAATAAATTAATAAATATTGTTTAATACAAAATCTTGGCCTTTTATCAAAGATTAGTTATAAGGTCTAGAGCATAACATTATATTTTTATAGTGCTCTATATTTTTATGTGTCATGGAGAAGAAAAAAAATAGTCTCAGTTTCTTATCATTCAAAAACCAAAAATGATAGCCCATGGCCTATCTATGTTTTTATAAAATTACTATAGGACTCTAAAATGTTTTCAGTTTTGTAATATACATATATATATATATATATAATAATAAATTACAAATTACATATATACACAGTAGTGTATATTGTATACTGTATAATATGTTAATGCCTACTATTTGTCAACGTTTATAAAATTAATTTTTAGATATAATAATATATATATAATTAGAATATATAATTTATTTATATTCTTTAAACTATATCTTCTAAAACCACGATATAAACCTTGCTTGTTTGTAATCTTTTGTAAGATCCACTGAACTCTATATACATTATGTATAGAGAGCCTAGATAATATGATAATTGTTATCTAGGGCTCTCTAGAGTTCAGTGGTAAGAGTATGTTATCTTAAATTGTGGTGATTACTGATACTTTTTAATCCATGACACGGATGGAGTGATTTTATGTTAAACATAAGTGATTTGGTAAGTTTCTATTCCTAATGGAATATGAATGAACAAGTGGCCAATGGGAACCGATTAATAATTCGTTAGTACCAATCATAGATAAAAGAAATTAATTTACCATGTGTTATTGTAACATTGTGACATCATATTGTACTAAGCGACGTCCATCGTACCTTATGTACTAGTACCATGTTGTACTATGTTAGCGGTTTTATAAGTGTTTTCTTTATTCTTTTTTTTTTTCAATATCGAGTATAATATTTAATTGCTAATTTTCAATAACGAAATATCAAACATGTCTAATCGGCATTCACAATAGGTTAGGACGAGATAGAACGGTGCAATCGAAAACATTTAGTGGTCAACATTCATTAAGTGACTGAACGATTCCCATCGAGATGTCAACGAGACGGGACGATAAAAGACATAAACATACATCAAAAAGGCATGAAGAGTGAGTGTCAAAAATGTATTTTTTTCGAGGTTCATACTGGGGTAGTACCTAATACCTGTTTTGAGATAGGTAATTCAGATAAATCTGATCGGGCTAAATATGTACGATACCTACTTTTAAAAATAGGTAGGTTTACTTAAATTATGTTCATTTGATTCCATATTTTCATCAATTTCCTAATTATGTACTCATTACAATTTTATTTTTAATTTTATGACATTTTAATTTTATGACATTTTAAATTCTGTGAATTAATTTATTTTGTTGGTATAAACCTTATACATTTTATTTTTTGGCATAATTTACTAAATCCATTAATAAGTAATATTTATGTGGATGTTTGTCTACCTATTGTACATCAATACTTTTTTCATTTCATGTTTTTCATTGTATAGATATATATTTTCTAATGAAAATTAATAAATTGCCGATTAGTTTTAAATAAAATATTAGTATTATAGGTACTTAAACATAACTAGGTATATTCAACAATAATATTAATACAATAATAGGTATATATATATATATATATAAATATATTTAATTACCTATAATACTAATGTTTTATTTAAAACTAGTCGCCAATTTATTAATTTTCATTAGACACATTTCAATAACACATGTTATTTAAATTTGTGTACTATTGCAATGCATATATATTTTGTAATTTACTGAATTTGAGTATTTATCAAATAATTTAAAGCAAAATTTAGTAAGTATAGTTTTGATAATATGGTACTTAATTATTTCAAAATCTTCTATCTTCTTCTTTGCCTTAATTTGAACTATTTGGGTTGCTGAACCTTGTCATAAACTTTCACTTCACCCTATATCCCACATCATCCTAATATACACTGACATATTCATACCATTCTTGTTTAATAAATATTCTTGTAGATTTTCTCTTATTAAAATAAATTATTTGCAAATATGTACCATGTATTTTCTTTGTAATTTTATCCATAAGAACAGAAAACAGTGATGGGCTTAAAGCCGAACCCTGATACACATCTACTCCAATGATAAAATTTTCCATTATTGTAATTTTTTATCATTAACGCCTCTAAAACCTTTTTTGGAACTCTGTCATATGCTTTCTTTATATCTATTTTAAAATGTTCTACACTAATCATTTAATATTTAAAATTTAGATTAATTT